CTCTCACACCTCAAAAAGTTTGGCCCATGGCCTCCCCGAACCCCCCCCCCCCCCCCGCCGCTGCTTTTACACCTATGCCATACGGTCAGAATAGGCCCTCTGCGGTACAAAATAGGCCCTGCGCAGTCAATAATGAGCCCTGTACAGGTGAGAATAGGCCAACTACAGGCCAGAATAGGAACGTGCGGCTCAGAATGGGCAGCTGTTTGGCCAAAATGGGCTAGCTACACAGGCCAGAATGGGCCCTCGTCAGGCTTGGATGATCCGTTTTACAGGTTAGTATGGGCCCTCCAAAGCCGACAGTATGACCTCTATATGCCCGAATGGGGCCTCTGCAAGTCAGAATGGGCCCTCTACAAGTCAAAATAGACCCTCTACGGGCCAGAATGGGTCATTCAGCCAAAATTGGACCATGTGTGGATGAGAATGAGCCTCTACAGGACGGAATGGGTATCCACAGTTAATGATGGGCATTCTTCACACAATAAGGGGCCCTTTGCTGGTTCAGAAGTGCCTGCTTTGGTCAGAATGGGTCCTAATTGGGCTGAAATGACTATTGACAGGTCAGAATGAGCTTTGACATGCATACATAATCCCTTTGTAGTTCAGAATCGGTCCTTAACATACCAGAATGGGCCCTCCACAGGCACTCCAAGTTGGATAAGGAGATGGGCATGAAGGCGCCTCCCCCAGCTTTCAAGTTGGGGGGGGGGGGTTCCTGCACTGCTCCCTCTCCCAAACTGGTTCCTGCGTCTTTGGTTGTAGTGGAGTATCTTCCAGCCAGTGTTCCGGCAGTGGCTGACCAGAGCAGAAGCCGGAACCCACTTTAGAGCATGCCCTTGAGTGATACATTTGATATCTTTCAAGTCCGAAAAAAATATTTGAAATTGTGAATTAAGGAGATAGATAACATAATTTGAAAACTATGGTTTATTATTTTAAAGCATAAAAGCATTGAGAACTAATTTTCTAAAACCATGTCACTTGACCTAACCAAAGCTAAATACCTGAACTCCAATGCTATTTAGAATGGCAGGCAACATGCAGAACAATGTTCAAGGATATTCTGGTACGTAGACGAGGATGCGGCTAAGGGAAGCATAGCCTCCTGAGCCAAAAGGCTAAGGCTAGATACAGGCTGATTTCTCAGAACTTGGGCCCGAATTAGTATGGCGAACCTATGGTAGGAAGATAGTAACAGGAATTCTGCCTAAGATCGCCGGAGCACGTCCTGAGTGGAGCTCCAGGGTGCTGCCCGACAACGCCAGAATGGGAAACTTTGGGACAAACTAGGCCTCACATTTGTAGACGAGTGGGACAGACTTCTTCAATTATAGAGACCCGTATCAGAAGCATGAGCTCCATTTCTCTGAGAAGAGTATATGAATGTTTCTTCAGGGAAACTGGCTTTTGGGGACGGGAGGGTGAGCATAGAACACCTAGGTGATAAAACTTCAAAATTGCTTAGCAGTGAGCCAAAAAAGTGTAGAAAGACTTAGGTATTTCCATGCAAATGCAAGAAGTATCAGAAACCGGCTTGGTGAGCTCCATGCTCATGTGCTTGGAGAAAAATTAGACCCGGTAGATATCACTGAATCTCGGATCATTCAGCAGCTTTTTAGGGATGGTTTATACGAATTTTAAGCATCTGGTTACGATATGCTTACTTTTCATAGAAGACCAGAAAAAAGTGAATGCTAGTAAATGTGAGGCAGAACAAACAATGTGGAATTGTAGACAGTATGAAGAATAGCTATAGTGTAGAATCCCTCGAGATAGATATGATGGCGTCAAAGGGCAGTACATTAGGTGTTGTAACTTTTTTAGGCCTCCGAATAGCTGTCAGTAGCCGAGATGTGAGTGGAAAATGTGTGGTTCTGGGAGATTTTAATATCACAGGCTAGAGCGTAGATTTTTGCCAGTCATCAAAAATTCACAATAATATCTTTGCTTGTTTCGAGGAAAATCTTCAACAGGTGGTGTGCGAGCCCAATAGGGGAGAGAAGTTTTGGATCTTTTATGACAAACGATAACGGGTTGGTAGATGCTTTGACAACAGATGAGACGATGGGAAATAATGACTTTAATATTATAAAGTTTTCTTTGCGTCTAAGTTATTCAGGTAAAGCCAATCATACTCTTATTCTAAACGTTCCTTGGGGTTTACCTGAAGAACGCACAGCCAGCTCCCAATGGGAAGATATTCCAACTGGTCTCACTGCACACCAGATGTGGAAAGTGTTCAAAAACATTTAAAAAAGGAGAAAAAGCTCCTTTCCTTCTGGAAAATGCGAGAAATAGTACGAGGAAGCCCCATGGTCGACACAGACAGTGCGCGATTTGAAAGCGGTGAAGATAGATACATAGATAGATAAAAAGTGCAAGATACAAAAAGCAACAACACGGTGTATAGAATCGCGCCAAGAAAACTAATCAGGAAATCAGGGCAGCCAAAAGATGGTTTTCGGCATGTCAGCATGGTTCAGCAGCAAAAGAGTCAGCATGGTTTTCTTTCTGCCAGGTCCTGTTTGGCAAATCTGGTAGAGTTCGTGGAGGAGGCTACTAGTCAGATAGATAAAGGAAATAGTTAAGATGTTGTCTGTCTAGATTTTAGTGAGCCGTTCGATTAGTGACCATACCAACGTCGGCTGCATCAGTTAAAATTACGTAACGAAAATCTCGGCTGGGTAAGGGCTTAGTTGCTAGTCAGGGAACAAGGAAAAGTGCTCTGTGACAGATCATCTCAGTGGGAGCTAGAAGAGACTGTGGTTCCAAGGGGTCGGTGTTGGGCCCTTTGATCTTTACTATTTGTGTGGATAATGTTGAGATAGGATTAAGGAGCAAGTTACAAACATTTGCTGACGATACTGAATTTGTGGGGTGTCTAAAAGACCGACCGCGTAAACCAAATTCGACTTTTATGTCCTTCAATTACGATAAGTGAAAGGTGACGCATTTTGGATAGTTTTGACAATGAGGGCATTAGCTATAAAATGGGAGGCCGGGAGCTAGACCAGAATGAAGAAGAAAAGATCTCCGGGGTATTATTTCTGCGGATTTAAAGAGCGACAACCAATGTGGGGCTGCTAGGAGCAAGGCATCCCAGATCCCAGTCAAGAAGTTGCACTTTGGTTACGTCGGACCACACCTTAAGTATTGTGTACAGGCTTGGTACCCATGCTTCTAAAAATCTATAGATAGGCTGTAAATTATACAACGACTACAGCGACAGCGAATGCAGCGACGAAAAGTAACTACGATGGAAAATGGGAAGTACGACTTGAATACAAGGATAGACTTAGGCCCTTGGATATGTATTCACTGCAATACCGAAGGCTTGGAGGGGAGCTGAGAGAGGTATTGAAGGTTATGGAAGAGACAGAGAAGTAATGTTTACATGGTGTGCTGGAAATTAGACCGACACATAGGGGAAACCAGCTTCAGTCAGCAAAATAAAGGAGCAGAAATATGAAAAGGCAGGTGCCATTTAGTCAGAGTGTGAACCAGTGGAATGGGCTGTGAATTAAAGTTGCAAGAAATCGTTCTCTAACAACATTTAAAAACCGTTTGGACAAGTTCTGTCGGTCTTAAGATCTTATCTATAGCTAAATTCCTACAGATCAGGCAGTAAGATTAATTTCGAGGATGTGTACGCAGCCTGAGGTAGGCCAGCCTCGATGGGCGCTTGTGGCTCTTTGTTGACCAGACATCTGTATGTCTCTGTATGCCTTAATGATACGCACTGCGGTAAGAAGAAACTACAAAACTGAGATAACAAAAATCCGCCGGTATGGGACAATGGACGTCGTTCCACGTTGGAAGGAAATGGCTATGACAGCCGTTTGGATTATTTCTTTCCAGTCAACAGCCACCGGACCAGTGCTAAATTTCCAGAAACTTGTATATCGCAGCCCCGGCCCCATCCCCGGCTTCCGTGCCCCTATTTCTTACGGTGGTGCAGCCCTTGGCAGCCCCCTCTGTTCAATGGCCTTGGTGCAGCCTATGGCACACCAGGAATTTGAATAGCAATGATCGGTTGCAAAAACGCCAGTTATGAGGTGCGTGATTTCTCATCTATTTTGCATTCAGGTGCTGTTAAGATGGTTCTGCGATATCGTCCCCACATCAAAAATTGGTGGCACCACCCTTGACCGTTACTAAGACCTTTTGTGACAAAACAGCTCGACGTTGTGCGTGAAAATCTAAAGGTTGGCCCCGCCAAAGTGGAGGAAGCACCATCCTCTCTCCCAGTTCACAAGTTGATAGTGCGCGAGCCGCCCCGTCCGCTCACGCGCATGACCCAGCCTTCGAATTTAGCGCAAGGTGACAGCCAGCATCCGCAGCGGTGGCGGCACAGCATCGGTCTCGATGACAGCGTGCCCGCGACAGAAAATGCCACACTTCAGTGTTACGTCTTAATCATTCACATCAGGATAAAAGTACTTTATAGATATTTCGTGCCATCTTATTGTGTGCTGTAGGGTGGCTGGCCGGCCACAAATTCGTCATTGCGGCACGGAAGCTACGGGGTCGTTGCCACCAAATCTCCATAGTACTACGTTTTCGGACAAGTGCGCTCTACTCCATGGTGCTGCGTCACCCAAGAATGCTCAAGATGTCCAATATATGTTGGCAGGAGCGTAGTTTCATAAAATGATTGGGGAGGGGGGGGGGGGGGGCGGGCAAACAACGAACAGTGACCAAACCTACTTCAAAATATGCCAGGAAACAGCCTTCCCCCAGATTTGGCCCGCTTTCTTCCCAAAGCTGTGGGGGTGAGGTTCACGTTGGGGAGGGGGGCTGAAGTTCCCCGAATAAAAAGGGAACTACACCGCCGTACGCCGGCATGCGTCATATTTAAATGCCATTTTTCTGAAAGCCGCCTCCGCTACCGACAAATAGCGTTCATAGATGGCAGCAGGCAAGCGCCCGGGCTGATAACATCACATGACGGTCACAAGAAAACCTCGCAGCGACATCTACATCGTCAGTTCGAACCGTTGATAACAACGCAATAGCAAGGATTCTAGGGTCGGCGATTGCGCCTCGCGGACCGTGTCGTGTTGCTCAGCGCAAGGGGGACGTTGAGTGGATCTTAGTCCCCTAGTGGAAGGCATATTTTGTGGCTTATTAGGTAAGGAAGAAACGTAAGTCACATGTTGAGGGATGTTGAGTGATCGTGAGAACCTCGGTCACCCGCCAACGCATGTTCATTGCTCTCGTTTCATTGTTTCGGGTTAGGAAGCATCCATGGAAAAGTAATTCATGTAGTTTGACTTCCTGTTTTATGTGGAAACTAACCTTGTGACCATGCAGAGATATTTGATCATCTTGAAGTGCTTGTGTGCAGTTCATGCCAACTTTTATTTAACTTTGCCAGATCGAGAAATAACACTGCCATAAAAAGAAAGATACTGCATCTGTACCTGGCACTCAAAACCACCTGAACCGCCTCATGTGGGCTCACATTTCACCCACCGCTGGTTGCGGGGGATGCTTAGCAGCTTATGCCCTGACTGGTTTGGCCATTATTGTTTCAGAACATGGAAGTTTTTAAAAGGTGTTCACTATGCTTTGCTACACTATGCTATATATAATATGTATATGTACTATGCTGGCATATGAGGCCAATGGGCAGTTAATTATTTTTTATAGCATTGCACAAAATGTTGTTTTGCTTTCTGGCAGGGGAAAATATAGTTTGATGTGGCAGAAAATGTGACTAAATTTATGGCAAGTATGGGTGCTGTTGTGGAAAATATATTATGGAAATCTAGACACTTGTAGAACAAGAACATAAAGCAACATGCTATTCCATATGAAGTGTATACAGCCAGACATTATTGAAAAATGTAACCTGGGAATAGTCATGTTTCTTTTGCCATTTGGGTTCAAAGACTGAGACATGATGGGTGAGGGAGGGGATGAGACCTACCAAGAAGCATGTGAATTCAATATAGAGTTTGCAACATATTTAACCATGCAGGATGCCAATGCATGTCTGTCTTCCATTACATGATCAAAATTGGACAAGCTACAAAATCACTCTACTAAAAGTCAGATTGAGAGTTAAACATGATTTTAAGGCATGTTGCTTTTAGGAATCACTGCATGATTAGACAATAAGAGCAAATGTTAAGTTATTTTGCACCTTGATTTTAAGATGCCAGACACAAATTTTCCTTCCACTCACTTCACAATTTCTTCCTAGGAAATGGGCTGATATTGCATGAGACAATTTCTTTTAAATAATAGCCACCTTCAGGATAACTGTAAAAATGTTAATTATGATAACTGGTGTATGTGTAAAGCCTGCGAGTTCAGTCACCAATGAGCTACATTCACTCAAAAGGGTAAAATAAAGTTTGTTTTTGTGACATTTGTGATTACATAGCCTTTTGTTGGAAAATATAGCCATTTGAATTGAAGAGTGCAATAAATAATTAGAGAATTAATTTTTTATATAGAATCATTGGTAGCATTTAACTATTAGCTCATTTACTTTAGAAGAAAACCAAACAGCTGAAGTCAAAGTATTACTCCATAAACTGATCATCAAACATAGTGCATTTTATTTTTGCACCTACTCTTTTATGTGAATATTTCCATCATGTGAACATGGTGTTCTCCTGTGGCCTTAAGCAGTGACTTTTTGGCCCTCAAAACACAAGAAAACTTTAGAAGCATAAATCTAGAAACCAGCATGAAGTGAAAACAGCAGCAGCATTATTTACTGATGAAATGTAGTCATGTTAGTTTGCGCGTTTGAAGATGAGCGATTCTTTATGCTTGGATAGTCCACTCTCTTCACTCACCTTTTACCTAATCTTGCTGACTTGTGGCATTCCTTACTACATTTAGGATTGAGGGTGCTAATAGTGACAGCCTGCATTCACATCTCCACCATCTCTTGGACATCGCCAACATTCGATGGCATGGCAAGTCCCCAGACTAGAGCCAACATTCAGCGGCGTAGCTGGTCCCCAGACCGGAGCCAACATTCAGTGGCGTGGCAAGTCCCCAGACTAGAGCCAACATTCAGCGGCGTAGCTGGTCCCCAGACCGGAGCCAACATTCAGTGGCGTGGCAAGTCCCCAGACTAGAGCCAACGTTCAGTGCTGTGGCTGGTCCTGCAGACCGGAGCCAACATTCAGTGCCGTGGCTAGTCTCCAGACCGGAGGTAACATTCAGTGGCGTGGCAAGTCCCCAGACTAGAGCCAACATTCAGTGCCGTGGCTAGTCCTCCAGACCGGAGGTAACATTCAGTGCCGTGGCTAGTCCCCAGACCGGAGCCATGTCGAGCTGGGGCCTGTTCCGGAGCGAGGACATGGCCCAGTGCCAACTGTTCCTGCAGACCGAGGCCGCCTACAACTGCGTCTCGGAGCTTGGCGAACTCGGCGTCGCCCAATTCAAGGATGTAAGTCGGCTCCCGCCCCCTTCCCCCCCCCCCCCATTGTGTCTTTCGAACCATTTAGAGATTTTGTTTAGCTAATTGTTAACATTCATGGGATAAGTTAGTCTGTGTATAGATTGATAAGCTGCTGAAACTGAACCTGGCTTAATTGGATCAGTCCCAAACTGATTTTTCAAGAAGAAAATCCAATTGATGATAGCAAACCAAACTAGGGTCACACAAATGAAATGTGAAAAAAGAGAGGTTACCTGCTTTCAACTTAAGAATGCTCAAGATACATCTTTTTAGAACAGTGATCTAGTGCATGTGGTTACACTGGAGTGTGTATTATATTTGCATTCCATACTTGGACAGCAACTGCTAAAATTCATCTTTATTTGGGCCAGCGATCCCTGCCCTATGTGCTCGCGGAAGCTGCCTGGCACGTATCAGTCAGCGTCATAAACCAGCAATGTTCTCTGCATCTGCCACACTGAAGGACAGTCCCGAGTGTCATTGCGTGCACGCTCTCCCCCTCCCCCTTCACACCAACACCACCAGTGCCGCCCGTTCCCGAGCGGCGCCGTTGGGTCGGCCCCGCCGTCGCTTACCAGGTGCTGGCCGCCGCCAGCTAAACCCGGACGTGAACTCATTCCAACGCAAGTACGTGAACGAGGTGCGCCGCTGCGAGGAGATGGAGCGCAAGCTGCGCTACTTCGAGAAAGAGATCCAAAAGGATGGAATCCCCGTGCTGGATACCAACGAGAATCCGGAGGCGCCGCAGCCGCGCGAGATGAATGACCTCGAGGTGAGCCGTCGGTCACGCCCAGGGCACAGGGTCAGGACAGGATAGCAGGACGGTGAACCGCGGCAGCTTGAGATGAATGCCCACAATTGCTTTGATTAACATTTTGTCGTGACTGGTTATTGCGTTCGGTCATTTGCAGCACAATAAGTCACGATTATGGGGCGTCACGTTTTTCGCTTGAGTTACTAGGCTGCGATGACGTGTAGTGAAATGCCATGTTGAATCTCGACAATTTTATGTTGTATTTATTTTGAGCAAATGCATGAGCACGTGTAAAATTGGACTGAACAGTTCTTATCGGGGCGTACTGAGGTTTTGCCATTTGAGTTGGGTCAGGATGCTGTGGGCTAGCAGGCACTATGACCCTGTACTGTCAAGTGTATTCTGATCCGTTCACTCTTGCATTGGAATTGCCCCATGACCCGTGTCCCGGCTAATATGAATGCGCTTCAGAATGCTCGCAGGTCCCTGGATGTTTGCATTATTAGAACGCATTCAGATATTACACCGAGCAAAGACCTCAACACATATTCATTTAGCGCTCAATCGATCGATGAGATGTCTTGTGATGACTTCCCGACATTGCCAGTAACCTCTAACATTTCTCTGTCCTTTAAAGCAAACATATGAAAAGCTTGAGGCCGAATTGAAAGAGGTGAACAACAATGCCGAAACATTGAAGAAAAACTACCTTGAACTTACGGAACTCAATTACATCCTGGCGAAAACCCAGATGTTCTTCGACGAGGTATGTTTTCAATTTCTTTTGTCTATCTACTTTGGATTTGAAGGATATGTTCCACATTTGTATGGAGTTTTGACATGAAATAGCCATCTTGAGATGATTCGGCGCAGTTCACAGCCATGCTCTGCTTAAGACCCAAACGCTTCTATTTTCTAAACGCCCGAGAAGATGTGCAGGCTATTTCGGGTAGACTACTTAAAGTTCACTGAGGCACCCATGGCGCCATAATGACGCCATTCAAATGTTTTCATTCCATTAGCCGTGCGGCGATCAAGGCGAATAGAAATCAAGTTGTGTCATTCATATCTTGCGCTCGTGAGCACGATTTCCAGATATAACGGCCGTCAGTTGGCTCTCAATGCTGTATAAGGTACGATGTGGTAATCAAACAATGATGTATTGAGGAACATATTTACTAAGCAAATATGGTGTGTTGTCAAGAGCAGAATTTTCCACCACGTACGCTTTAAGTTATACGTGAGCACTTTCATTGTATTTGATGCTTACTATATCTTCAAATGTGGAACATTCTCTTTTATAGCATGTTTGTATTGGTGTAACAGAATTAATTCACAGCCGAACACATTGCAGTGAGGTGGGCAGGTTTTAAGGCTTTCCGCACAATTGGTCAAGACATTTTTGCTGGTGGATAATAATGTGTGGGCTCGCTGGCGCATTTCTTAACGCCACATTTGCTTGTCAAGGAATGTTGAGCTCTTCAGTTTTGGATGCTTTTTGCATTGTGTTAGGTTATGAATGGGAATAAATCTGACATTTTAGCCACTTCATGTGGTGTTGAATGACGGGTTTGCTCGTTTTCCTGGCTTCATCTTCCTTTTCTCACAAATTTCCTGGTCCGTCTGACAAATGAGTCTCATCCTTTGCCACTGCTGGAACACTTAATATGTGCATGGTGCATGGGTTTTGCATGTTCTTTCTATGTGCTGGCATGACGTTGGCATAGTTATCTGTGGGCCTGTCAGGTATGTATTCGCTTACCAGCTTTTGTGATCACTTCATGGCTTACATTTTTCTTGCATGGTCAGCGTTACATGGCTGTGTGTTATTTTTTCATCCCCCACGAAATGTCTTCATCTCCATGGCTTCCTCTGTTCGATACACTTCGCTTTTCGCACGCTTCCGCCTTGCCGTTGTAAAAGATCTTCAGCGCCGCAATTTTCCCACGTTTCCATGTACGCGATCTTCGTCTATGTTGTCTTTGTACGGGCCATGGTATGTACTAAGCGGTGGGACCCGGTGCGTCTTCAGCTGCGCCGCTGGCCTCCGGTGACTCAGGCCAGCACGACGCCCGCCCCGTAGTGGCATCGCTGGAGCTGACCGCTGACTGTAGTGGCGCCTGGTGGCCGCTCGCGGCCTCGGCGGATGGCACCGGCCTGCGCGCCGTCCTCCAGCCGGCCGCCGCATGCCCCTCTGTGCGACGGAGTCGGCACTGTCTGGGCTGTCTGTCTGGCGGAGTCGGAACTGTCTGTGCTGCTGTCCGCCGTGTCCGGCCGACCGCATCGCCGGCCACGGCTGGGAACGCTGCCGGGTGCGCTGCTAGACCGCGCTGCTCATCTCCCTGCTCTTCCCCTCTAGAGCGGCCATCCGGGCCGGTGCGGGCCGCCCCGCCCCACCTGCTGTCTCCCGTCTCGCTCCAGAGCAGCCACCCAGGCTGGTGTCTTGGCCCTCCCCCTTCCTCTCCTGTCCTGTCAGTCCTGCCCCGCCTGCGGCAGACGCCGGACGAGCGGCGCTGCTGCGCTCTGACCGAGCTGGGGCTGTGCGCAGAAGGAGGGTCCCCAAGTGCAGGAGGGGATCCAGCACGCGCTCGTCGCCAACGACGAGGTCGCCAGGACGGCCGGCTCTGCGCAGCTCAAGTGAGTGGCATCTCTTCCGCCGACTCCGCCAAGCGTTGGCGCATCGGTGTTTCCAGACAGCACTGAATATAGGGCAAGGGCTTCTTACGTTCTCTCCTTTTTGTAAACATACTAGGCTGCACAGGCTGTTTGAGAAGATGATGGCATGTACTTCGTACTTCTTTGTCTGGCGCTGAACTGCATTGCTTCGGCCAGTGTCGTTTTACAATATGCATGCTTCACGCGTAGCTCATCCCCTAGAACATTTGTGTTGTTGTTAAGAGTACAGCACTAGATTTTCTGATCAGGCACCTTTCAACGTAATTCTCATCTTGGTGCATGTATACCATACCACCCGCTACCGCCTGTTGCACGGGGCATTGCAGGCACGGCGTGGTGGCACCAACATAGTGCTAGGAAGCAAAAAAAAAAAAAAACCGGAATGGAGAAATGTGCGTCACATTGCGAGTTCGCAGTCCAAAACTGCCGCGATGTCTGCGTAGTTAAACCCCAATTTCACCTCAGCATTGTCAGCAGCATGCTCTTTGTGATGTCGCCGATGCCTCTCCGATCTTTTTGACGTCACCGACGGCCGTCCAGTCTGCGTGACGTCACCGATGGCTGTCCGGTGTGTGGGACATCACCGATGGCTGTCCTGTCTGTGTGATGTCGCCGATGGCTGTCCGGCCTGTGTGACGTCACCGATGGCTCTCCGGTCTGTGTGACATCACCGATGGTTGTCTTGTCTGTGTGATGTCACCGATAACTATCCAGTCTCGTGGCACGCTCCGTGTGTCGGTGAGACCGATGGTTGTCTTGTCTGTGTGATGTCACCGATGACTATCCAGTCTCGTGGCACGCTCCGTGTGTCGGTGAGTGGGCGTCCGTCGTCTGCCCTGGCCAGCACGACTATACGCGTCTCCCCTGGCCGGCAGTTTCGTGTCGGGCGTGATCCGGCGCGAGCGCGTGCACACCTTCGAGCTGATGCTGTGGCGCGCCTGCCGCGGCAACGTGTTCTTGCGCCAAGCTGAGATCGAGAAACCGCTGGAGGATCCCATCTCGGTGAGTGACGGCCGGACAGGGGGTCTGCTGGCAGGGGTGTGGAGGTGGACCCGCTGGAGGACCCCGTTTTGACCTGGGGTGGTGGAAAGGACTGCGGACGTGGCTGTGTATTGGGATTGAGGAGGGGAAGGGAGGGACTGCAGGCGAACGGGTCGGGTAGAGGCAGGGGCTTAGGTCCACAAAATGCGTTGAATGTGCCTGTGGAAGGGGTGGGGTGGGGGGGGGGGGGGGAGGTGGGCAGGCAATGTGGTGAGCAGAAAACTGACTTAACCTACCTCAATATAGTCCTCCAAAAGAGTTTCTCCTGACCTTGGATTTACCATTCGGTAAAGGGTCAATCAAATTCGGACATTCGGATTAAGATTAGGGCATTGAGCCACTCGCCCAACTAAGAAGAGAACTAAGCCCTGGGTGGAACTGTCGCTGTAAAACCTGACTATGGGAGGCGGTGTGCTGAAGGGAAGGTCGTTTGTGATCGTGTATGACAGGGAGATGCGGATGGGGAAGGGAAAGGTTCTGTGGATGCTTGGGGCAGACTTGGCTGTGTGTTAGAGAGGGGCGGAGACTGGAGTGACGGTCGGGAGCATATATATATATATATATATATATATATATATATATATATATATATATACATATATATATATATATATATATATATATCGTATGTCTGGTGTGAGTGCCCATGGGGACGGCTAGGTCACAGAGGGATAGGCGAGTAGACCATCGTACCTCGGCGAAACGGTGGGGGGGGGGGGGAACGAAATGTCCTGCTATGGGCCGGGAAGGATGGCGCGAGCTGCCATCCTGTGTCGACGAGACGCGATGCAACATTATCCGGCGGTCAGCTACACTTCTGGTTGGTGTTAGGCCATCAAACTGGTTTGGGTTTGCAAGACATTAGATGACAAACGTTGACGCAATTTAGGTGAAATCTCAAACATTATTAACCTCATGTGGAAACCATATGCAACCGAGGATATCAGTGGTAACAAAATATGGACGAAATGTCATGTGCTCACATATACGATATTGATGATAACCAGCATACGTGGTGCGAGCCGGCACGCCGCGTGCCAGGCACCACACAGGATTTCCTGCCAGCCTGAATCTGGCGGTGCGTGCGACACGTTCTGTGCCTTCCTGTCCGTGCCACGTGAGTGGCCAGCGCCGCGTTAACCGGCGCTCTCGCCGCGGTGTCGACAGGGCGAGAATGTCAACAAGAACGTGTTCATCGTGTTCTTCCAAGGCGAGCACCTGCGCACGCGCGTCAAGAAGATCTGCGAGGGTTTTCGCGCCACGGTCTACCCGTGCCCCGACACGCCGGCTGAACGGCGCGAGATGAAGCTGGGCGTCATGACGCGCATCGAGGACCTGAACACGGTCAGTGGGCCGAACAGAAGAGGCGGTCGGCCATCGCGCGACCGAGCCGGCGGCCGTGCGCACGCTTTAGGCGTGTGGCTGTTCTGTTTAGCACGGCTGTTCCCGCTCTCCGGTCCGCTGTGTTGTTACCGTGTCCTGCCTCCGAGGCGGGCGAACGAGGCGATTCGAGATGACTGGTACCTCCCGTAGCGACGGATGCGCTCGCTTCGTTACGATCCACCCTCGCGTGGCTGATATTCACAATAAGGTTGCACATCTATGCACATGCTGTGCGAAGCGTACACTCGCGTGCACTAGAGCCGTGTCTAGTTCGTGCCAGCGTCTGCTGCGATCACCACTCGTGCGAACTTCGGCGCCTCACCGGCCCTCTGGCCGCGCAGGTGCTGGCCCAGACGCAGGACCATCACCAGCGCGTGCTGCTGGCCGCCGCCAAGAACATCCGCACCTGGTTCGTCAAGGTGCGCAAGATCAAGGCCATCTACCACACGCTCAACCTGTTCAACCTGGACGTGACGCAGAAGTGCCTGATCGGCGAGTGCTGGGTGCCGCTGGCCGACATGAGCAACATCCAGATGGCGCTGCGGCGCGGCTCGGAGCGCGCCGGCTCCACCATCAGCCCCGTGCTGAACGCCATCGAGACCCGCGACCCGGCGCCCACCTACAACCGCACCAACAAGTTCACAAACGGCTTCCAGACGCTGGTCGATGCTTACGGTGTCGCCAACTACCGCGAGATGAACCCTGGTGAGAGGGGGGAGACAGCCGGCGGCTTCGGCTTCGACTGCCGGCGGTGGGCCGCTGTGGGGGCGGGTTTAGAGGCGCGGCCGCGCGCTGCTAGACCTCGGCGGCGGGCGTGCGGCGCGTAGCGGTGCTGTGAGGCGTTAGCGGCCCGTCCCCGTGCGCCGCCCGATGCTGCGAGCCTCCCGCCAGTCACCGGCCCGTCCCCGTGCGCCGCCCGATGCTGCGAGCCTCCCGCCAGTCGCCGGGCCGTCCGTGTGCGCCGTCCGATGCGGCCAGGCTCCCACCAGTCACCGGGACGTCCGTGTGCACCGTCCGATGCGGCCAGGCTCCCGCCAGTCACCGGGACGTCCGTGTGCACCGTCCGATGCGGCCAGGCTCCCGCCAGTCACCGGGACGTCCGTGTGCACCGTCCGATGCGGCCAGGCTCCCGCCAGTCACCGGGACGTCCGTGTGCACCGTCCGATGCGGCCAGGCTCCCGCCAGTCACCGGCCCGTCCCCGCGCGCCGCCCGATGCTGCGAGCCTCCCGCCAGTCACCGGGACGTCCGTGTGCGCCGTCCGATGCGGCCAGGCTCCCGCCAGTCACCGGGACGTGCTGGTCGGCGGGGATGTTACCGCACCTTAAATCGTATCGGGGGTCATTTTTATTTTGGTGTCATTTTTACGTGGTCAAAACGTAAAAATGGTCTTATTTGTCCTAGGTTTGTTGGGACCCGGGTCCCGCCTACCCGCCCATGCTGATCTGTTGCGGGGTTTCTCGTGAAGATAGGGCCTTGTAACTGTGCCTGCCTTGCCGCTCTGCTGATCTGGTGATCCGTCATGGTGCCTATGGCTCTGTTTGCCTTGGTAGATATGTGGGCTGTGTGGGGGATAGTGACCGATGGTCACTGTGGTCATTCCTGGTGATGAATCTCGCGTTCATAATCGGCGGTACTCTGTCTAAATGTTTGTGACGCCGGACATGTGGCAACTGTCCACATTCAGTGGTGCTCGTGATCCACATGGTGTTGGTTTTTGCCGACGGCTGCTGCTGGGCTGGCCTGGCTGCCCGTCCGGCGCGGCCGGTCGCCCCGCGCCCGACGCCGCCCCTCCCGCGCCGCTGACACGTGCCGCTCGCTGCCGCAGCGCCGTACACCATCATCACCTTCCCGTTCCTGTTCGGCGTCATGTTCGGCGACATGGGCCACGGTCTGCTGATGGCCCTGTTCGCCGGCTGGATGGTGCTTAATGAGAAGAAGCTCGGCGCCAAGAGGATCGAGAACGAGGTGGGCGCCGTCGCCGGCCCGGGCACGCGGCCGACCCTGCCAAGCTCGGGGATGCGCCTCGCGTCGAGGTACAGCGCAGACGTATACCGCCGGTGTTCGAGCCGCAAATAATGCGCGTCGTCGCGTGGGATTCTTGCTTTCCATGGCGTTTCTCGTTGCTTCTCGTTACGTTACTCGTTGTTTCTTGTTACATGACGGTAAAGTTGATCTTGTTTCATGGCAGTAAAGCTGAGGCCAGGCTTCCGTAAACCAGACTATTATGCGGCTGCTTCCAGGTTAAGTTGTGAGCGATGCCTCTCACGTCTTATGCCACGCGTAAAAAGTCTTGTCCGGGCCTTGCGTTGACTAGGCTTTATGAGTGAATGTGTTGGGTGCGGGTACGGGTACATTTATGCGAATTGGCTCCGTTATGCTCCGTAAATGCTCCGTTAGGCTTGATTCAGGCATAGTGGAATTCAGCGAACATCGCAGTTCGAATGACGAGCCTGCCAGGTGACCCCCAGCCTATGGACGGAGGTATTCCGGTAGAAGCACCGGTGTTTTACTTTCGCGTGCAGCTGCGTGGCAGGCCACGAATCGCCTCAGATGTGGGCGCTCTCCGCTCCAACCATGGCCATCGGTACTTGTGTCGGACGTCGAGATTAGCTGTTGCGCTTCGCCGGTGGCTGCGGAGTATTCAGCTGGACGGACCCGATGCCTCCGGCGGCGTTCTGGTGTGTCGGGCACCATGAGTCTGACTCCGCGCGCCCAGCGCGGAGTATTCATCTCCGTTTGACGCCCCCCACGCGCCCAGCACGGGGTGTTCATCTCCGTCTGACGCCCCGCTCCCCTGATTCCAGATCGCGTCCATCTTCTTCGGCGGGCGGTACATCATCTTGCTGATGGGCGTGTTCTCCATGTACACCGGCCTCATCTACAACGACATCTTCTCCAAGTCGCTCAACATCTTCGGTTCTTCCTGGCGGAGCGGCTGGAATGCGACCACGATCTGGAATGCGAGTTCGGAGACCAGCATGCTGGTGCCTGAGAACAGCTCCTGCTTCAAGGGCCAGCCGTATCCCTTCGGCTTTGATCCCATCTGGCAGCTGGCCGAAAACAAGGTGACGTTCCAGAATGCCTTCAAGATGAAGCTGTCGGTGCTGCTGGGCGTGGTGCAGATGGTGTTCGGCGTCTGCCTCTCTGTCTTTAACTACAGGTGAGCGGCTCTCAGGGTGGCTTAGGTCGATTTACTGAATCCTGGGTGTGAGTAGCTACATTTTATGTTGTGGTGATTTGGATTCGTTTTTCTGTTGTGAATATATGTGACACGCTTGTGATTGATCTGTAACTCTGTGCTTTGTCTTCTGTTGGTTATACATTTGGCCGATCCCAGTGATCGACCTTGTTCGCAGAAATGTACGTGATTCGGAGCGCTGTCATAGACGGGATGTTCAGTGCCGGGTATGATAACGGGGGCCGGCTGCCGTCCAAGCTAAGACCACTCGCCTGTCCTGCACATCCGGCAGGCACTTCCGCCAGCTCTCGGACATCGTCACCATGTTCCTGCCGCAAATTCTGTTCCTGCTGTGCCTGTTTGGCTGGCTGTGCGTCATCTGCGTGCTCAAGTGGTGCCTCTACTCGGCCACGCCCGACCCCACCAGCGAGCAGGACATCCGCTACGGCTCGCACTGCGCCCCCTCGCTGCTGCTCATCTTCATCAACATGTTCCTGCTCAAGGACATGAACGCCGACCCCAAGGGCACGGCGCCGGGCGAGCAGTACTGTGACGGCTACCTCTTCGATGGCCAGAAGGAGTTGCAGTACGGCCTGCTGGCGCTGGGAGTGCTCTGCATCCCGTGGATGCTGATCGCCAAGCCGGTGCTGATCTACATGCGGCGCAGGAAGGCGCCAGTGCAGCTGCACCTGCCCGAGACGGCCGGCGCCGCCGCGGCTCCGGCTGACGGCACCAGCATCGGCGAGTCGGCGCACGGCGGCCACGAGGAGGAAGAGGAGGAGTTCAGTGAGGTCTGCATCCACCAGGCCATCCACACCGTGGAGTACGTGCTGGGCTCCGTGTCGCACACGGCCTCCTACCTGCGACTCTGGGCCCTCTCGCTGGCGCACTCCCGTGAGTAGACGACGCTGCTGTGCCGGCGGCCGCGGCGAAAATGCACGCCTGAGATCAGCTCAGAGGCAGGAAAGAAAATTGTAGTTCTTAACGGGGCTTGAACCGAGGAGGTTGAAACTGACAATCGATAAGCTGCTGTTCAACTCTGATGGATGCATTTCTCCTGTGAAGCGGTGGACGGTATCATCGCGGCTACCTGTTTCTGCCTGGAGGTTGTCCTGTCAGAGTTATCCAGGTTTGATGTGCAATAGTTCCGCGTCGGATGTGATGCCGTCGGCGCCGGACCAACCCGTCACCGTTGTTGCTGGCGGGACTGAATTGGGGCCGTCCCCGGGCGGGTGCTGACCGCCGCCGCTGCCACAGAACTCTCGGAGGTGCTGTGGACCATGGTGCTGGTGAACGGCTTCAGCATCACCCATGAACTGTGGGGCAGCGCCGTGCTGTTCTTAATCTTCGGCGGCTGGACCCTGCTGACCGTCAGCATTCTGATCGTGATGGAGGGCCTCTCCGCCTTCCTGCACACCCTCCGTCTGCACTGGTGAGAGGCGCCGTGGCTGTCGCTGGACGCGTTCCGCCGCCCCTTGCGGCCGCGTCAAGCACGGCATGATACAGTTGGGCTGGAGTGTTTCAGCACGGATCCGATAGCGCCATTCCTTTAGTCACCCGCTCCCTGCTCGCCCGCAGGGTGGAGTTCCAGTCCAAGTTCTACAAGGGCGAGGGCTACATGTTCACACCGTTCCGCTTCAAGGACATCCTGCAGGAAGCCGAGAGCGCCGAGTAGCCGCCCTGGCGCGTGCGTAGCGCGGCCGCTGTCCGGTCCGCCAGCTGCGGTCTCTGCCAGCGATCGAGCCTCGAGACCGCCTCTGATTCGCGTGATCTGCTTCATCTGGTCCCCGGCGCCCGGCCCACGCCCGTAGCGGGCGGCTGGGTGGTCTGCCGGGGGACGGTCGCTAGCCCGGCACTGGTGGTGGGCGCATCCCAAGTGCCTGCTCGCGACATGCGATTATCCGCTGTGTGGGTATTATCCTACGGCTGGGCATTTTGTAATTTGTATCAGGAATCGATTCGTCTGTGCATAGGTGCTGTGATTTTCTTACGTGTATCTCGGGCGATAACGCAGGCGTCAAATCGCTCACTTCATGACGTCCTGTGATGTAAACTGAACTGGACCAAATAGATTCTTCCAAAATATTTCAAGTTTCTCAATACTGGCCATAGGCTGTGAGACTCCCATTGAATGTTGTTACCAATGGAAGGAGGGGAGTGACGTTGTATATTTCTGTATATCATAGCATGGTTCAAAAATGTGCTGGCTGAAGTGTGGTTTCACTTATCAACATTTAGTGATCATTGTGCATGCCAGAACATTTAATCTGTATATATGATAGGTACTCATGTTTTATGAACATGTGAACTTCCCTGAAGTCCGACAAGTCCGAGGCGTCTATTCACTAATTTCCGAGCGCACGTCTGTCTTTCCGTCTGCCCGCATTTCCGCAGCCAGGCGATGGGCGCCAAATGACCACCGCAGTCGGCGCGGCCCTAAACTCCAATAAACAACAACAACCGCAGCCAGGCGCGGAGCACAGGCGGGCTACACCGATCGTCTTGAAGTCTGCACGTGCGATGGCTTCAGCCGTCAGGATGGACCGCGACATAGACGCGCTCTCTCGACACCGGTGTCGCGTAACAGTGCTGGCAAGATGGGTGTGTTCGGGCAATTACAGAGATACAGTTGTTCGTAAATGTGGGGAAAATATGACGCTCAAAGCCCAAGCCTTCGAAAACATGCCACATATGTCTACCAACGATGAGTGTTGCGTCCCACGCCTACTGGGCTGCCATCTCACGCAAACGTTCAAGGCTTAGGAAGGCTTATCCGGCCACGCCATGGAATAATGACATGCCGATAACGTTTGCGGCTGGAGGCGGCGGTATGGTGGTGGAACTAGCGGCACCGGGTTCGCGCTGCGAAACAAGCGGGAGCCACAACTAATGTATATTTTCAGTGTCCTAGTGCATGGAAAAGCGTTGCATAAGCAGTGCCCGAGTGGTCTGCGAGTGCTTGACGTAAAAATTTTAACTGAGATCCGCTTCACGTTATTGAGACCAATCTGCAGCACCACCGGTGCCACCAGCGTCACGTTTTCGCGCAGTGGAGCACTCGGGCTGCTTGCGAGCGTTATGGTTTGAAACGCGTAACCCAAGCGGCCTCACGGTAACCCACCCGAGTTGCCGGGCGTCTGGGAGGCCACAGGAGTACGGGATCCCATTCCTCGCGGCACCCGCAAGGTAAGTGGGAGTGTGAGGGCGAGTGCGGGGCAAATAGCGCCAGATGTCCCCAGCTACCGCGCGGGCCATAAAACCCCAGTGATAAACTGATGTGTCGTGCACTGAAACACCAGAGGGCGGTGGTACGAGCAATCATGGTATCTGTTACATTCAGGGTATGTAACACCGATGCGACCAGAACTCTGTTAAATTGCAGCAGCGACCGGGGCGCTCGGCTGACCACCAGACTGCCACAGGCTCCGGGCTGCGGACCAGTACTAGAATGCCGCAGCATTCGTGCGGTTTCAAATTCCGTCAGCGGCACGGATGGCGTGTGATGCGCCACTGTCGAGTCAAGTCGTGACGACTGCGCATGCCAGATGGTTGCAAGTGGTCTTGGTCTGGTTTCCAGATCCTTCCAACAGTGAATTCAGCGAACATAATCGCATTCTATAGCGGTGCGTGGTCCTCAGGTGTTCGCCTGGCTGTCCGGCGTGACACACGGAGTGAGGCGATACGTAGTCCTCGGGTGTTCGCCTGGCTGTCCGGCGTGACACACGGAAGAGTGAGGCGATACGCAGTTCTCAGGTGTTCGCCTGGCTGTCCGGCGTGACACACGGAAGAGTGAGGCGATACGGTCCACAGGTGTTTGCCTGGTTGTCCGGCGTGACACAGGGAGGAGTGAGGCGATACGTGGTCCTCCGCTGTTCGCCTGGCTGTCCGGCGTGACACACGGAGCAGTGAGGCGATGCGTAGTCCTCCGGTGCTCACTTGGCTGTTCGGCATGACAGACCAGACGATTGGCCGCACCCTGACAACCCAATAACAGACAGACATCCGGCACCACCTCCCTGTACACATTTGCGCTGAAAATCATGCGCCTACGTCACGTCACGGTGATAACACCCTATATTCAGCAGACATCCCTTCAACCAAGCCCCCCCCCCTCCCCCCCGCCTGTCCAGTAGACATCCAATCAACGAAGCCCTTGTATTCAGCAGACATCCCGGACTCCGCAGATCCCTTCGCTCAAACATACACCGGGAATGTAAAACAGTCAAAAACCGCAACACGCGAACTGCCCTGGCGCGCTGTGCGCGCGCCGCAGGGCGACTAGTACGTCTCCGCCATAATGAGCACCACCAGCGCCGACCAGCCCGTGAAGGGTCTGCAGCCCTGGCCCCAGCCCGTCTTGTCGTTGTACTGTTCCCACACGAACCCCGTCCGCTTGTACTCTTTGACGATATTGCGCACGAGCGCGGCGCGCAGGCGCTCATAGACGCGCCGCGCGCGCTCCTGGTGCGGGCCTTGCGCCGTGGCGTAGTGGCGCAGCGCGCGCACGGCCAGAAAGTTGATGTTGACCCAGATCGGGCCGCGCCAATAGGGCGGGTCGTGTTCGGTGTTGCGGCGCATGTAGAGCGGCGCCGACTTGGCGAGGGAGCGCAGCCCGAACTCGGTCCAGAGCAGGTTCGGGTCCTCCAGGTCGGCGAGAAGGCGGCCCAGGCGCGGCGACGCCGGCTCCAGCACCTGCAGCAGCAGCGGGAACAGGCCCACGTAGCCGCGCGCGCTCACGAAGCGCAGTACCGGCTGCTCGTCCGTCTGGCGGACGAGGCCGGGCGGTGGCGGCGGCCGCTGGCCGGCGCGCTCCGGCGCCGGCGCCGGCCGTACCAGCCGCACCGCGTCCGTGTGCAGGCCGAAGTCGGCGAACGCGCCGTCGGCCTCAGACCAGTGGAGCGCGTCGAGCCGCGCGCCGTCGGCCAGCAGGGCGTGCGTCTGCCGGTACGCGTCCGCCGGCTCGCCGATGGCCACGGCGATGTCGGCCAGCAGCGCCGACGCCAGCGTCATCCAGCAGTGCAAGTCCACGTGCCGCTCGTCGGCGTTGGGGTGCGAGGCGCGCGGGAAGTCGTCCAGCCCGGACGTCAACGTCTTGGGGTTGAGCTCGGCGGCGGCGCGCGGGTCGCGGCCGCGCCACCGATACGCACCCGGCAGCTCGCCCGCCTGCGTGGTGTTGAACCAGGCGTACCACGCCTGCAGTCGCGGCCACAGGCGTTGCAGGTACGCCACGCCGGGCGCGTCGCCCATGGCGTGCATCATCGAGTGCAGCGACAGCAGCAGTGTCGGCGGGTTGGCGTTGGTGTTGCGCTGCACGACAAACTCGCCGGGCACCTTGCTGAGCGCCTCTGAGCCGAGGATCTGCTCGCGCGGGATCCACCCTTCCACGTTCATCAGGTCCAGCCAGTGCGCCACGATGTCTTTGGCGATCTCCATGTCCCACTGCGAGATGAGGAGGTTGTGGAAGCCCTCGTCCCAGAGAAAGCCACGTGGGAAGAAAGCTACGCGACGGCACGGCCGAGTAGAGGGCCGCCGGCCAGTACGGCACCGGCTCTTTGTTGTGGTGCGACTGCACCAGGGATGTGCCGTAGAAATATCCCACCCCGCCCACTAGGTTGCTCATGGTCGCCTGCGCGAACCGCACTTCCTCCTCACTGTACCCCTTGGCGGCAAGGCCAAACTTGGCTTCGAACGTCCGCTCGAACAGGCGCCGCCGCTCCGCCAGCAGTCGTTCGTACAGCTCGCCGCCGAGCGCGGCCGGCCGCGACGCGTCCGCGCTCGCCGACTCAAAGCGCACCTCCAGCTCGAACGGCGCCGCCGCCACCGCCTGGAACACGACGAAGTTGGGGCGGCGCTCGACGCCCGCCCCGAACATCTCGCCGACCAGGCCGATGTAGCGCTGGTCGGACGTCTGCACCAGCCGGAAGCCGCGTACGGCCGTCTCGCGCAGCTGGTGGAGGCCGGGCGCGCGCGCCGCCAGGAAGAACTGGCGCTGCAGGCGGCCGCGCGCCGCGTGGAACGTCAGCCGGAAGTCGCCGAGCGCCTCGCTGGAGCCGTGCACGGCGCGCAGCGTGTCGCCGGCAGCGTCCACAGAGAGACGGTCGGCCGGGCCCGCCTCGTCGTCCAGCGCCACGTAGTACAGCAGGGAGATCTGCAGACCGTCAAGCTCCGGGGTCTGTGGGAGGGGGGGGGGGGGGGGAGGGGTCAGACAGCTGACAGTCACAAGCGAACAATACTGTCACGGTGTGATGGTCCGTACGCATCACCGATTAGAGCACGGCACGAGACATTCAATGCGGGACGCAAAGCAAAGCCGAAAAGAACATCACGAAGGCACGAGCAGATAGTCAAGTGGGAGGGGGGATATGCAGGAACACTCCTACCGCGTTAGAACAGCGAGCACAACCAGAACAGACCCGACTACTCGTCCATGGGTGTGAGCTACCCGAGCGTCCATCAAACCTGGAAGGCGAAAGCAGCCTGGGAGTGCGAAATATGCAGACGCAAGCACTAGGTTCCTCCTCACACCGAAGCCGAAGACGTCCACCGTTCAGCACCCCCCGCACCACCAAGCACCAGTTTCAGGCAACGGAAGACAGTCCACACCTCGCAACAACTCACGGCTGCCTAACATTACTATCTTACTCCCAGAAATATTTTAGTCCTACATTCTTCCACGCATAACATTCGAGAACTAACTCCACGCGCCAAAGTCGCCGATCGGCTGAGTCTGCCTGCGCGGGCGACCTGTGCACCCGATATCCTACCTTGGGCGTTGCCTTGATGCGAGCGGTCCAGTCACCACCGTGGTCGCCGCCCGGCTGCTTGACGAACGTCGTTTCCAGCCGCACGTGCTTGTCCACCAGCTCCTGCACGCCGAAATATCGGCCGTCGTGCTGCTGCCAACCGTAGCTGGAGAGGTTGTCGCCCTGCTCACACCAGTGTCTGTCGAGGAAAGCGGAGAGAGCGGAGTGAACACACCGACCACGGGTGGTCTCCAGACGCGCGTAACTATTTCCAGAAGATGCCTTGGGCTCACTGTTTCGATATAGTCCATCTTCGCTGCGCCGGGGTCCCCGAGCGCTAATATGGTCAACGCAGTCGTTGGCGCTATATAAGAGGCGTGATGATGTGCGTCACGTTTTCTTAAAAAAAGAGGAAAATATATCACTGAAGTCTGGTTAGTTCCGCCCTTTCAATCACGCACATGAGCTGCAATCAAGCACTCAAATATATTGCATGTTTCAGGAATATGAAACGGGAACCAACGGTGTCGTCTTAGAACGTGTGCAACCGCTAACAGCACACTATGCTCTCCGGCCAGCTGATGACAAGACCACTCCCAATCTTGGCGCTTCGTGATGAGGATTATGATGACTCGGGCCTTAGCACGTGCCGGCTGTCTCAGTCATATGACGTCCACAACCCCGGCACCTCAGATGATAATTACAACCGACAAAACGTCATACGAGAGACGGCGTCGGAGGTTGCCGCCCTCTCCGTCGACAGACCTGAGTGGCAGGTCTCCGCCCTGGAACGTGGCCGGCGTGAACCACATGAGGCCGGTGACGGGCGAGCGCCGGTGGCGGCTCTTCATGCCGAAGTACACGCCCGGCCGGTAGGAGCCCCAGTAGCGGTCGTCCGGCCGGATCGGCTCGGCCGCCTGGGCGCGGGACATGGGAGTGGCCGTCAGAGCGCAGGCCGGCGCCCGGCAGAGGGCGCAGATGGCCGACGATACTCTGCGACTGGGCATCGGTCAGGGAAGACGCGGTCGGGGTGGACGGAGCAGCCAGGTGCTCCATTCCTCCGACCGTTAGACGGGTGACGACAGAACAGCCCCACACTCCGCATGTTCCCGGAGTGACTCTCTCGACTGCATTCATCGACACAGTTTGAAACTGCTCACGGAAGCTCTCATTTCAACATAATTCCTGTTCGCCACAAACCACTACGCTCACACGATTATTGGGTGAGCACAGAGAAAACCGCAATTATTTGCGACAAACAACAATATTACCTATCATTTTTGTGTAAACACTGTGGGCTTGGGGAAACCCCGATTTTCTTACAGTTTTTACAAGGTAGGGCTAAGTTTCCTTAAACCCTGGCCTAAAATGCCTGTTTTAAGCATTCTTCTCCCCATTCAAACTGTCATTCTCACATCGGATTACCCCGCCACGATTTCACTTTGACCTCTGCAATCCTGATTTTCCCGCTAACCCCAATCTCAGAGGCATGGCTACCCTGATCACACGTGACCGGAGAACAGACCAGCTCCCAGCGGTGGCGGTGCGGGCCTGGGGAGGGCAGCCCGCCGCCGTGCTATTGACCTTGGGCGCCGCCAGCGGCGTGTTGACGCGCCGCTCCATGTAGCCCTGGTAGGCGAGGTAGCCACCGACTGAGAGCAGCGCGCCAGCAGCGAACCACACCAGCAGTGACGGCAGGCTGGCCGGCGCGCCAGGCGGAGCGCGCTTCTGACGCGGGTACGGTGCGCGCCCGGCCGCCGCCGCGCCGCCCGCGCTTCGGTGCCTCGCCTTGCCCATGCTGTCCCCCAAAAACAGGTGCTTTGTCAGTCTGGATGCTTTGATGGGATGGGGGGGAGAGCTGGACTGAGCTGTTTTGATTTGGATAAGTGCCTCTTTGTGCTACAAGTTGTGCTGTGGAATGTTTGTTCCATGAATGCTGGTAGATATGGCATGGTCAAAACACAGGAAGCTTCGGCCCCACAGCAAGACAGCATTGCCCTACCTTCAGAACCATGCTTGCATGCTTATTAAGTAACAACACATTGCTTATGTTTTCAACCATAATAATAACTTAGTGGTTTTGAGGTGATAAATCTAAGATGAAGATTCTTAAGATTCTTTGCACACTTCACATGTTATTTGTACTTATCTATTGACAACATGGCTGGTTATGTTGATCCCAGGAGACAATGAACTACCTCCCCAGCCCAGTGTTCTCAACATGTCCATGCACAAAGAACAAACATACCCATTTGGGTCAGCAACATACATACCCATTGGCAATATGATTACAAACCACAGAGTATGAGCCAGTCCAGTTGCTACCTCCTGCTCTAACATATGCCCATTTGTGTTACTGGACTAATCTACTGTCAAAAGGAAAAGTCCTCCACAAAAATACATTTTCACCATTTCTTGGTTTAAACTATTGTCAGCAGGACACAGAACATTCTGATTCTGAAACACAGCCTCAACACCAAATAATTACAAATGCCATTAGATAGCATCATGTCTGTACCCTGTCTTCCACCAAGATGCTATGGAACAAATATTGCGGCAATCAAAAGTAATAAATACCTACATTATGTTACCTCCCATTAAGGTAGTGTTCAGAACTTCCCAAAAATATGGTACAATGAAGAGAGAAACCCTAGTGCAAAGAAAGATACTGACAAAACCAGGAGACTTAAATCCTTGGATGTTTTGCTCAGAAGTGTTTTTAGGGTTTTGGGAACACTCAATCTGCATTAAGACCTTTTCATGTATTGTATGTCAACCCCCCAGGAATCTCAACACTGGATAACATTTTAAACTAAAAATCCTTATTTGATGCCCATCTATGACCAAAACACTGTTACACAATTTGTTAGCCATATCATCACAGATCAAAATTCCACACACAAAGATGGTTGCCAAAGATGTGATGTGCATGATAGGTCTAAGTCCATCCTTTATCATATTCTTCAGCATTTTATTAGCTGAGGGGAAGGTAGACCACCAACCCATTAAATCTGAACTAATCAACAGCATTAAGCTTTCACACTTTTAGTCAGTCCATAATGCACGATGCATTTAACAATATTAACAAAATACTGTATAAGTACTGCTGCGATGAATTATCCACAATTGACAATCCTAAATTACTTGGGTCAGAGCCATCAACATACTCATGGCATGAGCCACGAGTGATATCCACAGCAAGGCACGGACACATTGTTTGGCATCATTCCGAACCGGCCAAAATGTTTTGCAATAACTGTGGTGAGAAATTACGAGGAATGATCGAACACCCACTTACACCAATCAACCGATGCCGGTTTCCCCAAGGCCGTGGCTAAGCCGAGGGTCAAGATACTGAACATGCCCTGTCTGGAGCGGACTAGCCTTGTAATGGCTCTCCCAGGATTGGCTGTATTTCGCACTACCCGAAAAGCTTCAATCTACTACTGGCCATGTGAATGTATATTGGCAAGATATGCAGCGTTGGTCAAAATGTTTTCTGACAAAAATAACGCAGCTATGACATTTAGGCCGCGATCGTCTTTGGTGCCACGTTGAATGGTTTTCATGGCGTCGTCTGAAAAGTCCTGTTACGTGGTTGTTTTGGACATGAGTGGTGTGTGCGCTTGATCAGTCTGTGCTTCTGAAATATCACGGCATTTCTGAAGCTTTCTCGCGGACCACATTCGGGAGGAATAGGAATTGGCGTCTGGTCGAGAACGGCTGATAGTCCCGTGGCTTCGCTGCCCGTCGCATTTGGAAAAAATAGCATCTCGTTCATTGAAACATGTTAGTATGCTGTTATTTATCCGCACATTGAAGCCACTGGCTGGGTTGTAACAAGCCTGGAATGCTCATATGCTTATTTTGCCCAATTTTTCAATGTATGATGAGGTGTGATAAGTTAATATGGATGCCTGAAATGTTGATGTCTCAGTTGATTGAGTAGATAACTTGCTGTTTAGTCAAAGCTGTTTTATTGGTTTCAATAACATTGCAGTTCATATAAGTGCTGGAAGGTTTGTGTTATTGTGCTGAATGGATATTACAAACTGGTGCTAAACAGAATGGCTTCTATAGCTTGCTATGGCTCCATAAATATATGATGGTTCCATGTATGATATTGATAAATATTGTGTTATATATATATATATATATATATATATATATATATATATGCATATATGAACATAGGAGTATGTGACAGGAGATAGCTGCTTTACTTGCAGAAGTTTAATCACAGTCAGATGGAATTAAAAGCATGTTATGTACCTAAGTCCTGTAACATTATTTTCAAGTGATTGCATATGCTGTGAATCAGATCTCCTGGCTAAGTTTGGTGTTCATGAACCCACAGAGATGCATAGGTGCAATAACTATGTATTTTGTGTGCAGTACATCAAAATGGGTGCAAAGAGTCCAGTCAGTGATAAAGAGCTGCTGGTGGATATGGAGAGCAACATCAATGTGGGAACTAAAAGGTACTTTTATGCTGCAAATTTATTTTGCTTGTGTTGATTTTAATGTCAAATGCTTTTGGTGGGAATGGCTTTGATTTCCATCAATTAGAATGCTTATGGCCACACTGGGATGCTTGACACATGATTGGTTATATAACATTCTTGCTCATGCATACTTGTGCTTAGCAGCCACCACAACATTTTTCATCCTCTCCACGGTGACGCTCGGTACAAGATTTTAAATATCTGTCTTTTGTCTTAAATCCTTTTCCTGCTACTGTTGTGCAGCCAATATATCAACACTATATCACTTAGCCACTACATAACTTCAGGGATGTCGCTTCTTTGCTGCAATTTACTGCTTTCTTGCAGACTGTTATTGATTGCTGTACATATTATTACTTGTGTCTTACATTGATGCCTTTCTTTAAAACAGGATGTTTTTAATCCTGTGTTAACACATACATTTCAGCACATGATTTACATGGTTCAGTTGTGTGTTTTGAGAGTTTGAAATGTTGCAACACACAATGTTGTTGCCTCACTTTGCATACTTCAGCAACTGCGATGCACTAGATGAGCGTCAGGGCTTAGTGTTAGCTAAATATGATCTGATTTTTTGCTAATATGTGTTTTGTAATGTGTTTCAACAGGGTAACTCTCCTGGCCCAATATGTCAAGATAACAGCAGTGGTAGCTGCATACTGGTAAGAATATCTGCTCTACATGCCTTACTAATTGTCTAGTTATGCCAGGATTATAGTAATCATGGCTTTACATTTCACATGGACACACAATGTGGAGAAAAGTTAGCATGACTGATCTGTCATGATAGTGGCAGTTCATGTAACATGATTGCTTTAAACATAAACAAACTAATAAATACAAACAAGCTGCTAATACTAGGCTTCTGTAAAATTTGAGGCAGCATTGCTGCACATGTCATATATTTACCTCTCAAGTATGTTGCTGGCCCCATAGTTCTTTCAATACATAATTACACATCTAGTTTTATGAAGATGTGTTCAGGTAAGGGAATGACCATCACATTCAGTGACAAATATTGAGCTGGTGAGCAGATGATTTTGTCCTGGGCATCCTACACTCAACATGAAAAGAGAGCAGAGGAAATCAAAGTTGAACAATGCTGGGGCTTATTGCGAGAGGCGACGGTGACAGGGACACTGGCTAGGGTCCGCAACTCTTCATTATTTTAAGGCATTGGCGCCTTTGACCAAAGGATGTCCGGCTAAGCTAGCAAAACGCGGCGATCCGATTTTCCTTACTTCTACCCAGCTCTGAAGATTGGGCCCGTCTTGTCCTCCCCCCCCCCCCCCATCCGGGATCGTCTTAGTAGGAAACGGAATGGAAACGGAATGGATAAGAAGTGGTCCCGATGCAATTTTTGTGGTTGAAACTATCTTTTTCAAAACAAAAAGGCAACGTCTTCACGTGGCCAACAATTCAGGGATCGAGGAAGAAACAGCAAAGTAGCAAAAACGAGAGGACATTTTTATCTCATCAAGAATTGTACAAATATATTGAATACAAGCGAAGTAGCAAAAACGTAAGGGCATGTGTATCTCATCAATAATTGTACAAATATATTGAATGCAAGCGAAGTAGCAAAAACGAAAGGACATGTTTATCTCATCAAGAATTGTACAAATATATTGAATACACTCCCGATGTGTTTATCGAAAGCGTTCCCATGTTGCAATCCCATACACTTCAACTCTACTCGTCAACAAAATGTCGACTCGAAACAGTCATTTTAATCCCGTGTAAGCTTTTTGTGAAAATTCCGGATGATACAGATGTAAACAGTAATGAACAATGGTTTTAAGGCTTTTATGTAGGTACTCTCACTGTATTTGCACCTTTTGTTCTTAATGTCACTTTTTGTCATCAGGGTATCTTGTGCATGTCATCAAGCATCTCCTGAACTGGTTTTTTAAAAAGTAAATAGCGTCCGTGCCCTCGAGCGCGCCATCTGTTTCATTTGATTGGCGGCGTTACGTAAAGTTGGCAATGCGTGGTCCGTTCGCACTGAACTCCCCCTGGGAGCTGCTCCTGACTGCGCCGGGGTCACGGAAAATGGGTGATATGTGTTAAAAGGACGGTTGGAACAAGTCGCTAAGATAGACGACTCTGCCGCAAACGGCTCAGACATTGCAGCTGGTAAGCCGGACGGTTTGAATCACCGAAGTCTCCACTCAGGGACGTATAAGAAATGAGGACTAGAGGCACCCAGATATCTGTAAGTCATGCTTTGTACAAGTTCGGACGTAAAGCTGGCAGATCGTCATCATCGCATGAGGATGTTGTGCGGCACGGCTCCACGTATGCGTCCATCGAGCTTTGAGAGCGGAACGATCTCGGTCAAAACTAACCCGTGCTCCCTCCACGCGCGGTCCCCCCGCTCGCCCCAGTAGGAGAACCTGCAATTTTGAGGTAATCGTGTATTTCACTATTGGAAATGATGCCTTTGGTCTGAAGAGTCTCGTCGGCCAGTCATAGAAAATATATGTAACAACAGCCCTAAACAACTCTCCCTGCAGAGCTACAGGTTGTAAATACAGAGTAATATCACTCGAAGAATAACGCCACGTTTCAGTGTTTGCTCACCAATATAATCCAGTCCACGTACAGAGTAATGCACCGTTACTTTCCTTCAAATATTCCTGTCACCAAGTTATCCACCACAGTCCGTGAGATAGAAAAAGGATCACGTCCTTTCGACATGCAACATTGATTACTCGGCACTAAGATGCTAGTAGGTCGGTTTGTGGTGTTCTTGACATTTTTTTGACACATGTTCCTGATACCCTCCATATTTTTAATCGGGTTAAGGCCTGGTGTTACGCTCCGTTTCCCCGGAATCAACTAAACCAATTTTTAATGAAAATGTTCCACGTGCGTTTAAACGTCTACATCATCCAACGTGACATTTGTGAGAACTCCTTGAGGTTTGGACTGCGCAAGCTGGGTTGTTTCGCCCACATTGTATTCTTCTGTTGAATATTTGACTATCGGGACAACCGTCTCTCCCCAGAAACGGGGTTAACCCTTAGCTGTCTTTGACGTCGTGGCAGTTAAACAGCTAGGACGGCGACTCATCTCGCCAGTACGCCTCCTTCCAGTGATTCCCTATTTACCTCTTTCGTTCGTGCATGGCCCTTCAAGTGCCTTCCAGGCTTGTCTTCAAAAAGTTGGGTCTTTGGAGCGCTTTTTACGCTTTATTTAAACCTAAACACACTTTGTGAGAGGTTTGGGGAGAGGATGACTGGAAAGCATTAGGCAGTGTTCTTTCCAACCCAGGAAAGCCTAATTACCGACGCGGTAGTTACCCGCTACGTTATCTTTGTTGGCTCCTGATTGACAGGACGAACTGTGCTCTTTATCCTCTACCCCTCATTTGCAAGCCCGATCATTCCTTGATTTCGCTTCATTCATACACGCTGCTCCGTTCAAGTAATGCCGAGGCGAAAACGATACCCGGGCTCCCTCTGTCGAATGTTCTGCGGCCATGCCCTGCTCACAAATGTTACCGCAGCTTCGTTAGGAAGAGGGAGACGTTAATTTGCCTATTTTTGTGTGGCCCCGCGAATGGAAAATTACTTCATGAGAGGAGCCACGTGCTCACCGATTTAGCTACAGCCCCATGCGATGTCTCATCAGGAAATGAGGCCAAAACCGCACGTATTTATGCGACCAAACAACACATATATCACTCCGTTTGCAATTGAGGCCAAATTCTTCCAGAAATGATTTTACATAATCGTTTAACGTCCTAGGTGTTTCTTCTTGAAACATTACTTTCCCGAACTTGTTTAATGGCGAAATAAACTCGAAATTCAGTCATTCATCGTAAGCTCTTTTGAGGGGTCGCTACAAAACCCCATGGGTCGCAAGAACGTCCTGATACATTTCCAGTGGTGGCGCGTTAGCCCCAATCCAGGGACGTCGTTACCCTCGGACGCGCGCGCCCTGTGCCGCCGCGCCAGTGATGGTCTGAGCTCTGGAGCGCTGCGCCGCGTGTGGCCTCCTGCGGGACACTGTGGACGGCACGTGCCGCCGCGCCAGTGATGGTCTGAGCTCTGGAACGCTGCACCGCGTGTGGCCCCCTGCGGGACACTGTGGACGCCACGTGCTGTGGCGCCAGTGATGGTCTGAGCTCTGGAGCGCTGCACCGCGTGTGGCCTCCTGCCGGACAGTCTGGCTCACAGTTCGCCAGGCAATCGCGTTGGAACTTGGCGCGGGCGTAACACATTGTAAGCCACTTCCACGTGGCCCTGTCGTCCGCTTTAAAGTATACAGGTAGATCATGGTGGCGTGTGGGCTAGGATGAAGTTTGCAATCAGCTGGTTTCCATTGCATGTAATTAAGTACCTACTTCCATGTTCTTTGATACGCCGAATGAGTGCGGAAAACCCGTCATTGTTGCAAATGCACTCGTGCCAATGACTTCCTACTTCGCTTGACGTTGTTTCATCATGGTTTTACGTGTGCAGTTTGCACGCCTGCCAGCGATCGGACGTCGTGACAGTGGGCCCCGCTGGCTGCTGTCTGCAGGGTGGTGTCCATCACCATGGTGTTCGCCAACAAGACGCTGTTAAGCAACAAGGGACTGACGGCGCCGTTCTTCATCACCGGCTATCAGTGCCTGGTGACGGCGGCGATGTGTGCCCTGCTCAGCACTGTGGGCCGCTTTCTGCCCGCCGCCGCCTCGCTGCCCGACCCTAGCCCTCAGCCGCGCGTCCTGCTGCAGGTCTGCCGCCCACACCGGCGTTCTCCGCCCCTCCCCCACCCACCTCCTGTTCGTTTCAGGTGTGCCGCTCACACCGGCGTTCTCCGCCCCTCCCCCGCCCACCTCCTGTTCGCTTCAGGTGTGCCGCCCACACCGGCGTCCCCCGCCCCTCCCCCGCCCCTCTCCTGTCCTGCTTCAGGCCCGCCAACCACACCGGCGTCCGCCGCCCCTCCCCGCCCCTCTCCTGTCCTGCTTCAGGTCTGCTGACCACACCAGCGTCCCCGCCCCTCCCCCGCCCCTCTCCTGTTTTCTTTCAGGTCGCCGCCCACACTGGCGTCCTCCGCCCTCCCCCGCCCTTCTGGCCTGCTTCAGGCTTGCCGACCACACCGGCGTCCCCGCCTCTCCCCCGCCCCTCTCCTGTCTTGCTTCAGGTCGCCGCCCACACCGGCGTCCCCCGCCCCCCCCCCCCCCCCGCCCACTGGCGTCGCACGCCTCTGCCCCTCCCCTCTCCTGTCTTGCCTCAGGTCTACCGCCCACACTGGCATCCCCCGCCCCTCCCCCCTCTTGGCTACGTCACTGATGTGCGACTGAGTAGCTCATTGTTTTCGCTCTCATGCCCTGTTTCAGAATCCCGTCCCTTGTCTTTCGAAGTTTCCTGCCAATTTATTATATCAAGAATAACGTGTTTGCTTGCGCATGATGTCTGCATTGAAAATAGTAGATAATAGAAGTGTTATGCTTGTGTATGTATTACAAGTAAGTCACATCAAGATAAGGAAATCTGAGAGATATAACTAAATTTTAAACTATAATGAAATGGCTGTGTAAATGCGCTACTCTACGTTAAGAGATCAAACTTTAAGCATAATTTGAACTCTACTATATCAGTGTTGTCTGATAAGTCTGACTGCTGGGGCGCTGTTTGTACAACCGCTCTGACTTATTTAAACAGTTCAGTGGCAAAAAGATAACCTGATGATGCAATTATTTGTTCCCAGGTTCTGCCGTTGTCTTTCGTGTTCGTCTGTATGATCACCTTCAACAACCTGTGCTTGAAGAACGTGGATGTTTCGTTTTACTACATCGGCCGTTCCCTGACCACTGTGTTTAACGTCATCTGCACCTACCTTATTCTAGGTAAGCTGTGGCGCATGGGGTGATGTGGAATAGCCTAGGGTTTGTTTGAAGTCGGGCCATGATGCAATGATGCTGGGGTTCGCTGGAGCTCAGCATTTGGGCTCAGAAGGCTCGCAGTTACGTTGGTGAATACTCAAATGCGGTGTTTGAGTACCACGAAACACCTGAGTAGGTGCTGAAATTAACTCACAAATATCCCAAGAACATCTTTTATTAGTTTGTTCCGGAGAATAGTCTAGTTTTTTAAGTTGTGGAGCCCAGTAATTTTCGTTTGAAAATTTAATAGTATCGTTGTATCTTTTCATTGCGAGCTTCATAAAAGCATGCGGATGCACAAAGAATAGATGTAGAAGCAACCAGAAATGATAGAAATATACCACATTCTCAGAAAAACAAGAACATTCTGACAGTCAGTGTGTGGCATTCCGTTCATCGGCCATAGTTGGTGTCGATAGTAGACTTAAAACAAAGGTTACTGTCGTTGGCTGTTGCGGGGTGATTACGAACAGTTGCATTGGAATGACGCATTGCTGACTGTGGGAATGACGCTGAGCGTGTGTTTTCATACGGCCGCAGTCTCGGGGAAAGCCAGTCAGGTCTTGATAGTCGGTTGACTCCGCCAGGATGGCAGTGTGTGACTTCAGCACGGCTGTGCTGGTGGCTGAGGACGAGTGACTGAGTATGTTCTGGAGGAGGTGAATGTGTCCATCAGTTTTTCAAGGTTTGAACTAAATTCACAGGTTGCACTGACTCTTGGTACGCTTGCAATGGCTTCGGGCGCATGAACGATTGTCAGAAGAGATCATTGAAGAACATTCGGAATTATGGCCTGACATTTGAGCTACTAGTTAGGTTTTGTAAGCTATACGACTCCTGAAAACTGGTGGGTGTCTTGTGACTGTTTATACTGACCTGTTGATACTGACCTAAGAGATCCAAATCCGTAGGGCAAATTATAAATGTAGTGAACAGTTCACGATTTTCGTTAATTTGTCTAAGATGAGAACGAAAGAGTTTATAAAAATCCCGGATATTCAGGTATGCCCTAAGACCTCTCCAGGCTGTTGTGGAGAGCTCTATGAGTACACGTGTCCGCACTCTGCGTGCTGCACAATGCTAATTCAGACTCCCAGGCATTGCAGCAATGTGATTAACAGTTGTTTTCTGACCCTCAGCAGCGTGACAAGACATATAGCGTGCGTTACTGCGTTTCAATAGGATATTGACTTACGGTTTTGATGAAATACAAGGGAGGCAAATGTCAGCTAACTTTGGTCATTGCCTTGACAAATGTCATTCAAATGTTAATAGTAGACATTACAATCGCACGCCCATTCTTGAAAGTTCTAGCAAAGCGATCCGTTGTCTTTCGCTTCCTTCGAAGCATAACGAATGTATTAAAGTGGTGTTTAAGCGGTCACGTTCAAATGATGCAACATGCATAAAGAATGCATTTTGTGGGAGGCTCTACTGACCACTTTGCTGCGCGGAACACTGGTTTCCTTTTGGGTCCAGTTGGGAGCCGTTTTTCTGTATCCCTGATCACTTTATGTCGTGCCCCTCAATTACATTTCTGTGACTGCTGGGTACCAACTGACGGTTCAGACTCAACCCAAACCTGTTAGTTCACGCTTTATACGCACTCTCCTGTCCTCAGTCCGTTCCAGTCGTTCGCGTTTGTGTGGAAGTGAGCCGACTTTAGCGCCATCTGTTTCCGACTCCCACAACTGACTCCTGAACGCACTGATCAACGGCTCGTTTAGCCGATTAAACGGCAATTGGCGAGGATTGGCTTAACTGCGCCACCCCGGAAGCTCACGCCGCGCCGTTTCGGGGTCTTCTTGTATGCGTCCAGTCAAGTGGAATAGATGAACGACAGGACGCACCGGTCGCCTGTAGGACAGAGACGTGGCAGCGGGTACGTGCGGAGCGGTCGCCTGTAGGACAGAGACGTGGCAGCGGGTACGTGCGGGGCGGTCGCCTGTAGGACAGAGACGTGGCAGCGGGTACGTGCGGGGCTGTCGCCTGTAGGACAGAGACGTGGCAGCGGGTACGTGCGGGGCGGTCGCCTTTAGGACAGAGATGTGGCACCAGGTACGTGCGGGGCGGTCGCCTGTAGGACAGAGACATGGCAGCGGGCTCGTGCGGGGCGGTCGCCTGTAGGACAGAGACGTGGCAGCGGGTACGTGCGGGGCGGTCGCCTGTAGGACAGAGACGTGGCAGCGGGTACGTGCGGGGCGGTCGCCTGTAGGACAGAGACATGGCAGCGGGCACGTGCGGGGCGGTCGCTCCGCGCCTGGTCGCCGCCTGAAGTGAGTTAGTAACAGCCCATCACGAGCGAGACCGCAGGGCGGGCGAGTTTCACATAAAATATGACAACATTCAATCGAACGGCCCGAACTCGCCCATGCCTGCTCTCATGCTTTCTGGAAACGATTGGCTGTGAAGCCATCGGTCGTAGGGGCACGCGTTTTCCAGAAACAAGAAGTGCAGTGCTTTAAAGTTCGGCGATCTAAATTTGTAGGCATTGGCTGAGGAGTCGTTCAGTCTGGTGAGATTTTCCTGTCACTGCGATTTGAACAAAACGGTTTTTGTCTGAGATGGTTCAGTGCTTGTGAAATGTAACACATGCTAAGTATTCAGATAAATTAAAATTACCTCCTTACACTGATCGCATGCGTGCCTATCGTCAAGTAACATGCACCCTAAATTAATTTTCTGTCACAGGCCTTACTCACAGATTTGAAAGGTACAAACGCGCACAGGTGTCGAAACATGCATTCGTACTCTGCGAAACTATGAGCAAGGCCAGTGACCGGAAATCCATTCAAAATACACCTTACTTAACGACGAGCATGTATGCCATTATAATAAGATCAGTTTAATTCCACTGAGTGCGCAGTTTTCCCGTTCGATTAGCATAGACAACGTACTATTTTTATAAGTTGAAGAAGAAATAAATCGCTCGGGTCGAAACTAGGCTCCAATGTCGACAATCCGGCGTGGCAGGGATAAAAGACCAACTGATTTAAACGGAGGTTAAAACGCGCGGTCGTATTGGCTAAAGTACGGGTCAAAGTGGGTCATTGATCACGTGGTTTTGTGCGCAAGCCACGAAACCGTTTGGGGTGCTGAAGGGTCGATGTCAGAGATCGGCAACTATGCCAGGTAAAGGCGTGAAACTTGCATGGACGTAAACCAGACCTTGCACCGTCTGTAAATCGTGGAACAATATGCACGCCGCCTTATCCAAAGGTGCGCCGGTGTTGGCCCAGGCAACGGCCATTGTCATGCTTTCCGAAAGCGTCGCGAATGCTGATATTTGGATAAATTGAAAGACACTGGTTGGTTGCCTCTGAGAGACTTAATTGATAGAGGCCATGAGAACTACACGGGGGCTTAGTCCAATCTGCTGTGACTAATCCCCACTCAGAACATTTGCGTTGGTCGCAATACCTCAATCATATGCAGGAAAGACCGGCATTAGTAAAAGTAAAAGACAGACATTAGTAAAGCTTCCTCCACTTCGTCGGTTAATTCGCAGGCCCATCTGATTCATAGCCAGTCAATTACTAAACATAACATGCCGTGAATTAACACAGGAATACCTTATTAGCAAACCTTTGGACGTCTGCCTGCCTAACTTTCAAGGAAGACCAGATTTGTTCAGAGGTCCCGGGCGGCCTTGATCTGTTTATTTTACGCACTGCTGAAAGGAAATGCTAGAATGCCCTCACCCTGGGGCGGTCTGTTGTTCTGTGCCATTTCCCAGGGTTGGCGTCACAGGAAGTGAGGCACTGAAAGCCCGTGCGCGAGCATGCGTGCTGTACGTTTCTGGTGCGCGAGCTCACCAGAAATGCCCATCTCCCGCAGGTCAGAAGACGTCGGTGCAGAGCATCGTGTGTTGCGGTGTGATCATCTTCGGGTTCCTTCTCGGCGTCGACCAGGAGGGGGTCGCCGGTAAGATTTGCTGGAAAGTTTGTTGCTCGCTGGAAATTAGCGTCCGGCTTAGCGTGCCGCTGATACGGCTGAAAGCTGGCTCTTGATGGCTTTCATTATAAACGACTTAGGCGGTCTTGGAACAGCTTTAAAAGATGGGCAGTTTGAGCGTCGGCGTTGTAGAAGACTGGCGCTGCTGTTCTGGGAGCTCTGCTGGCGGCTAAACGTAAATCATCTAGCAGGAGTCTTGAAGCGCTTGCAAGCTCCCTATTAAGCCATCCTATTGCTGTGATGCTTTCCCCGCCTCATAGGCATTGAGCAGTTAACACACATTAATACCGATACACACAAACACAACATATGTATGCATATATGTGACATATGTGTGGTGTAGACATAACGAATACTGGCGTCATCTGGGGCGTCTGCTCAGCGAAAAGGCGGCGGTTCCTGTTCTAGTCGACCGGTGGCACGTGGTACGTGCTGTCATCCGGACCTCTGCAGCCCTCTCAGAGACACGGCCAATGGTCAAACGGAGAATACCACTAACTTAAGGCCGCGGCCAGCATACCGTTCCACTAAAGGTGCTCGGTCGGCAGCCGTGCGTGGCCAACGTCGTCGCCTACAGGCGCGTGCACCTTTGTTCTCGGGGTCCTACGAATGCCAGAAACAGTCGGTGGGCCGACAGAAATTTCGTGCGTGGAAAGACTGCTGCACGGGGTACGGAACGCTACCCGACCGAGGCGTTCCATGCCTGTATGCTGATGCAGTGCGCGTGCCCGCGTGTGCACCCCTTTTCCGTATGACCCGAGTGTGGAGACTCGGACGGCACGGTCTGGCGTGGTCGGAGCATGAGGCGTCCCCGCCGCTTCCGGCGAGCGTATGCTAACACACTGCACGGTGCACGCATGACCGCATCCAAACAAGGTGTAAGCCTCTGGAAGCTGGGAAGCTATCATGCTTGGGCATTGCATGGAAATGTACATTGCAATGTTGCAGGCCTCCAGCTACTTTGTGCTTAGTTTAAACAGGGTTGTTAATGATGTTTTCCGTAGTTAATAGTGACGCTTTCCTCAACTGCATACGCGTGTAACGGTCAGTATATTGAATTTGATAAAACCCACCATGCGGCCCATGTCTGATTTCGGTGCCTTCAAAGTTATGTTTTCAGCAACGTTTCGGTGATGGTCATCGAAAGAGGATTCGCCAAGGACTTCATCGCCGTTGTGTGGCGATGTGAGCCACATGGCGGACTTGCCGAGCTGTTTGGGGATTAAGTAATTTGTCGGAAATACGTTTTCGGAGAAAATCGAAATGATGTGGCTCCCACCGCTGTGCAAACACAAAATTGGAGACCACTTCCTTTAAAGGGAGTGTCCCACCTTTGGGGCATATTTCAAAAACACATCGGCGAAAATTCAGGACTATTTACGTCTCATGATAGTACTGCGCAGTGTCACTATTGCACCAGCAAGATGAAACAAGGAAATAATGTTGATTATTTTCGAGTCCAAATACGCTGTCGGCGCTTTGTAACATCACTGCACTTCTTCACTTCTTAGTAGCCCGGGCGTGTATCCTGAGTTCGTGACAACTGAATTTGCCGCGATCGCCGTCATCATGACGACGACAGACTCTGCTGAGGGCCATCGCTAACTGTTACGGGCTAGAGGTGACCCTTTTGAGCTATTTTAACCCGTACATTGCGGGCCTGCGGGCATATAAGTGGCACGTCTGTTGGTATGAATGACGTCAGTACAAATAGACGTTTGTGATTCGCACGGCGTGCGGCAACGGCCAGTTACCGAGAAGCGCGTTCGTCGAAATTTGATCCAATGCGTCACCATAGACCACGTGACACACCGCTTCCCAAAGCCAAATTGTGCTTCGAAAAGAGCCTCGTAGCATTTCTTACACAAACGTTTTTACAAATCAATGTTTTGCCATCTCTCCAGAACACATACGTTGGAAAAGCCAGGCAAGTGAAATGTTTGACTTTCAAAATGGTGAGCAGGCAATCAAATGAGATTTCTCCCATAGGAGCAGCTACTTGAAATCAAAATGCTGAGCTATTGAGGATTTGGTGGAAAGTGGTATTACCGATCAAACCGGACGCGTCTAATTTAACAATAAATGAAAAAGTGCAGAAAGGTGCCATACTCCCTTTACTGAATTCATTCTAATTGCCTGTTCGTGGTAGAAAGTCAACGGGTTGTCTAGCTTCTAAGCAAGATTAGGTTTTGCGAACCATTTTTGACCAAAATGTGCGTTGCACATGCACGAATACAAGCTTTAAGCTGACACCGCATCAAGCCAGTGGGTGATAGCATATGTAAAAAGAATTGGGCCTGCCAAAAGGTGTTGTAGTTTTGTATTGCTCTGAGTCCAACACACAGACATTTGACCTTATCAAAACCCGGATAACTCAATCATTTATCATAATTATTTTTCGTTGTACTTTGGTCTTGGACCGTGGCACTATCCGTAAACACTACATAATGCAGGTACTGGTACTATGCTCTCGCCTGCCTTATGATAGGACCCATACTTATGTAAAAATTATGCGAGAGCAGTAAATACACGTTTCCTGGGAAATGCGATGTAAAATAGAGCAAGAAAGGTTGCTGTAAGCTTCCACACCTTAACTCAGAATATTTTTTGTTGTTGTAAGACCGGTCCTGTCAAAGTCGATAAGGCTAATGCAGTATTGCTGTTGGCAAGAGCCCATTGACGTTTGCATAATCCGACATTAGACTGGGCCTGTTGATCCACTTGCCGGTCGGTCGATCCACCCTGCTCCTCCCTGATCGATTGTAAACGTTCCAGTGTAACAACAGCCGTCCATACCTTAACAAAAACGCTCGGTGATCGATGATGATGGTGATAAAAATGATCGACCCTGGACCCAGAAAACGCTCTGTTCGAGTGTACTCGTCAGTATAGTGTAAAACTCTGGTTAAGTGTACTCGTTTGTCCAGTGTAACGCTCTGGTTGAGTGTGCTCGTTTGTCCAGTGTAACGCTCTGCTCGAGTGTACTCGTTTGTCCAGTGTAACGCTCTGGTTAAGTTTGCTCGTTTGTTTAGTGCAACGCTTAACTCGAGTGTACTCGTCAGTGTAGTGTAAAACTCTGGTTAAGTGTATTCGTTTGTCCAGTGTAGCGCTCTGGTTAAGTTTACTCGTTTGTCCAGTGTAACGCTCTGGTTAAGTGTACTCGTTTGTCTAGTGCAACGCTTTACTCGGGTGTACTCGTCAGTGTAGTGTAAAACTCTGGTTAAGTGTATTCGTTTGTCCAGTGTAAAACTCTGGTTAAGTGTATTCGTTTGTCCGGTATAGCGCTCTGGTTAAGTGTACTCGTTTGTCCAGTGTAGCGCTCTGGTTAAGTGTACTCGTTTGTCCGGTGTAGCGCTCTGGTTAAGTGTATTCGTTTGTCCGGTGTAGCGCTCTGGTTAAGTGTACTCGTTTGTCCAGTGCAGCGCCGTGATCGTTTCCGTCTGTCGACAGGTTCGCTGTCGATACTTGGCGTCGTGTACGGCGTGCTGGCCTCTCTCTTCGTCTCCCTGTTCGCCATCTTCACCAAGAAGGTACCCTTGGCTCTGACAAGTCCGTCGCGTGGTTTGTAGCGGGGATCAGCGATTAGGCGACGTGGTAGCCCCAAAGCGGCTTTTGCCGACTGCTTTAGCCGTCTGAATCACTAGCTTAGGGGGGCAGAGCGCATCGCGCGGTGGATTTTCCGACCGTGTTAAGTCAACGTACGATTACATCCTCGGGGTATCACGGCGGTTCCGCGTGCGGCGTATTCAGCCCGTCTTGCGTCAGCTAGCAGAGTCGTGTCTGCACCGGCCCTGCCCGCGTGTCGACCGCGCCGACTGCCGGCATGTTCTGGCGGTTACGTCATGGGCGAAGGGTCGCTGCGGAGCTGAGTCGGTGTGCGCGGCGGGCCTGCCGCCGCCGCCCGTCAATCCGGTGTCATTGACGGCATCCGCGGCCGGCCCAGGTGCTGCCCGTGGTGGACGGCAGCGTGTGGCTGCTCACCTACTACAACAACATCAACGCCTGCCTGCTGTTTGCGCCGCTGGTCTACCTGTCGGGCGAATGGACCCAACTGACCCACTACCGCGGTCTGGCTGAGCCCCATTTCTGGATCCTTATGACTGTCGCCGGATTGTTCGGCTTCGCCATCGGCTACGTCACCGGTCTGCAAATCCAGGTGGGTGGCGTCACGGGTCACAGGTCTGCAAATCCAGGTGGGTGGCGTCACGGGTCACGGGTGTGCACGTCGGCGTGCGGGTGGTGTCACGCCACTGCGCCACTTGTCCAGGCGTGATTTCCATGTAATTTTGTGGAAGACTGTCATGGAAACTTACCAGCTTTCCGACTATCTCCGCCGCATCAACACGGGAGCCTACGTCACCTGCTGCTGTAGCAGTTATGTGATCTATGAAATTGGTAGAAGCTATGACAGACTCAAAATATCAGTGAGGCTCGAACTGTTCGCCGTCGCCTGAAGACGGAGCGGCTGCGGCACGTCTGATGCTCGCTGCCGTCGCAGGTGACCTCGCCCCTCACGCACAACATCTCGGGCACGGCCAAGGCGTGTGCGCAGACCGTGCTGGGCTCGTGGTGGTACTCGGAGGCGCGCTCTCTCCTCTGGTGGACCAGCAACGGCATCGTGCTGCTGGGCAGCGCCGCCTACGCGCGCGTCAAGCAGCTGGAGATGGAGGCGCGCCATCACTCGGGCGCCAGCTAGAGCTGGAGATGGAGGCGCGGCACCACTCCGACGCCAGCTAGGGGCCACGCGGCCGCGGTGGCCGGCGGCGAGGCCGACCCAGACACACGGACGGCACGTGCTCTTCACAGGCCGGCCTGGCGTGGCGGCAGGCGTTGTGGGTTCCGCCGTTGCGTTTTTTATGTGACGCCTGGGAAGGTCAGTACGCGGCGTTGTTTTATTTCTAGCCTATTTATTGTTGAGGATGAGTATGCGCGGTGCTCATCGGTCCCGCGATCGATGCGTGGCCAAACGCCAAAGGAAGAGGCGTTGGCGACGTGCTGCAGACCCGTCGGCTCACGGTGCAGCGCCAGCGCCCTGCGTCGTTCGTGTGGCCGGTGCGGAAACTGTATGGCCACGTATTGTGTCGAGTGTTTCATTGTGTCGTCGTCTCTGTCGTGTCGACTCTTCAGGTGATGCGTGTCCATCTGCACTTATGTAATAAATGGGGCAAAGTAGCGTGCTGTTCCTTAGCAGCGGCTCGTTTCGACATCAGATTGCTCCTGGTGTCGATATCCGTCGTTAACACCGACGATTTAACAGGTGCGTTACATGATATGCTGTAACATAGTTTATCTGCTACAGTAGGGTGTTTTCATGGTAAATGTATTTATTCATTCCTACCGTTCTCCAGAAAGTTACATACATCACATAATATATGCAGCCCAACACTAGGTATACAATGCATATAACAATGCTACTAAGGCCGTAAAGTATTAAAATATTGCGTTGTCCTGTCAAGCTACGTAGGATTATCTTGTTCACAAGTGTGCTTTCACTTAGCCTTGTGTTCCACGCGTTGTTAGCGGCGATTATCACATCATTTGGTCGGATGGCACAGTGCACCTTTTCATAACATCCATGGCGTAAACGCAGCACATCGCTCCAAACGGATCATACGGTTTGAATGGACCATCTCGAAGTTGGCCTATGCCCCTTTTGAGTTTGCATAGCACAGTAGTGGCACTCTCCATTCTGCACTCCCAGGTTCACCCCTGTCACAGGCCAGCGGGCATCTGCACACCACTTCAACACTCGACAACAGACGCGAGTTCTGTACTGTGAGAAACGCGACAGTTCACGACGGGCGGCTGGATGACCGATGGCTGCCGTCTCGCCGCCCCGGCCGTCCCCGCTCCCCGTCCGGCGGAGTCTACGGACGCCACGCCCTTGCATGAGCTCGCAGCGGCGCCGGGCAGGCACCCGTGCTCCGCCAACCGTGCCCGCCTCTCACTACCGCTCGCCGCGCGCACCGGCGCCGGGCAGACCCCTGCTTCGCCAGCCGTGCCCGCTTCTCACTGCCGCTTGCTGCGCGCCCGAGCGCCGCTCGCTCGGCCCCGGCCCCGCCTCCGCGTGGCTGCGCCGCCGCCGGCCGGGCCCCGGCGCCCGCCCTTCTTACGCCGTTGGCGGCTCTGGCGTTTGCGCTGCCGCCGACGCCCGGCTCCCGGCCGGCGCGGCGCCAGCGGCGGCAGCACCTTCTGCTGGATGGCACGCGCGTCCGAGCAGTTGAAGCGGCGCAGGAGGCCGCGCACCGAGCGAAACAGCTGCAGCAGAAGAGGGCACCGTCAGCCCAGGACGGCACCGTCCGCGGCGACAGGGCACGTGGGGGTGGCCGTGGGGAGACACGTTCGGACGGGGGTGCTGCAGTCGAGTGGGCGCCAGGCCTTTCGCGGACGGGGCGTGGAGAGTGGTGTGGAGCGACACAGATGCGACTCGTAACTGTTGTGAACACATGCCGGCGCAACGTCGCAAGGCAAGAACAAACCTCCGCCCGGTGCGCAGGTACGTTCAATTAGCGTTGAATGTGCTTAAGAGCGCACTTTATCGCGCTGAAACCATCTGACGACGTGTGTGGCTGCAGGTTGTTGCAGCTTGCTGGTGAAGGCCTACTCGTCCAGCAGCGCAGATGAGCAGCACGGGCGGTGTCCTGCGATATGGCTGGTAGGTCGTCGAGAACAAAGGAAACGGAAAAGAAGCGGATGTGCGCGGCGGTATGTTCTACCATGCATTGTACAAAGCATTCTGGAGAAATTCGTGCGATATTTGTCCGGACTGGAATCCACCGACCCTCTGGTTGACTACGGTCGGAGTTCAAATCGGCTCTAACGTCAACGCAATTTGAATCGAGTCAGAGTGACATCGATTCCTTTCAATTCGCATTGTGGGTAGAAGTTGGCGTAAGGTCAAGCAGATGATCAGTACGCCAACCCACATGAGGATGTAAGTAACGAATGCTGGTATAACAGCTTATTTACAGCTCAAATGGAATGTCGTCGTACATATCTTGGTATCACAATGAATGCACGTGAGCTATTAACAACCCCCTAAGATCTCGAAAATTAAGACAGCTAGAGGCACCAAATTTACGGGGTAATTTGGCCTGTATGTGAACTCACTTGTATCAAAGTGTGAGGTTTCTAGGTCGTGACCTTGGTGTAAAATGAGGTCAAACGATGCTAAACTCCAGATTATTGTCCAAAGTGCCCCTAAACCTGCTCATGCAACCACCTTGAAACAAGATGACTGTTCCAAGCCGAAGGTCACCAATTTTCACTCCAGGTCAGTGACCTTTTGGGACCTTCAAAGTTTTAATGTGATGAAAAATCTACCAGATTGCTTCTATTTTGCTATTGGAATAAGTGTCAGGGATTACGTTAGACAGCAAGATCCTATGTTTTTTATGTTGAGCTGGGCCATTTTATGTCAGTAACGTGCTCTGACTTTTAAAAGTCCATGAAACACGTGTCTGATGCAGTCCCTGTTATTAATAAATCCCAAATAAATACTAAAAACTATCCCATAAAGCTCCTGGATACAAAAGCAGGTTAGTTTCGACCTCGGTCTGACGTTCCTACCTGACTCTAGGTCAATTGGATTTTTTGTGGCTCCAAACCTAATTGTTTTATTGCCTGAGGACTTGTGGTAGGGATGTATGGCTTCCTCTAACACCTCGTTGCCGCAGCAGATTGAGCGATTCACTAGAAATGGCCGTCGCTGCTATCCACGCTCTGACTTTGGCCTGTCATAGGTCAGCGATCTTACAAGGTGTATCTATGTTATGTCATCAAAGGTCCGCTTTTCGACTGTCGAGCTCATCAAAACAGCCATGCAAAGTTTGGCACTGCTACGCTGCGCCGTTCGGAAATAATCCTGGAACAACTTTTGCGGGGTCGAATTGACCCCGAGCGCGTGTTAAACAGGCAATGGTAGAAGAGTCTTCTTTCAGAGCTGACGCTAAATTCAGTTTTATCGTAACTGGTTGACACTTTATTTTTTTCATTAAGTCTGAATCGAAGTCGCCGCTGTTGTGTTTTGCTGCACGGAGGCTGAGTTAGAATCAATTCCACGCACTGCGAGTCGCAGTCAGAACAGATTACCTCGATGAGGAGTCAAGCTTAAGTCCGCAGCTGGCAAACTTAGCCTTCATTTATGCTTGTTATCAAGTTATAATTCTCTTATCCCGATTTACCGCGGATGATAGCCCTGTTTCGGTCTTAATACCTTGGCAGTGACATCTGGCCATCAGCCTCAAATCTTGCTGCCAACTGTGACCGATCTGGCTGGGGCCCTAGTCACTCGATAAAACCCCGTGGTATTACATACCCCTAAATCAGAACGCAATGCTTGGCACGAGAACTCTTTAACTGGCCCAGCCCTTCGTCATTTTACATCAGACGGGGCTTGGGAGCGCACTTACTCAAGTTCATGAACTTAGTCGGTCCGTGTAGCGTAAATATACACCGCATGATCTCCCATTTACATAGATGCTCTCAGTAAGCAGCCTTGAGTTAAGTCGAGCTGGCCAAAGCCGGATAATCACCGGGCTCTGCGGCCTGCGACGTCCGACGCCTCACAGTAGGCTCCTCGAGCTTTGCCGCGTACTGCGCACCGTCTGGTTTGTGTTGAGGCGGCTGAGTTTTGATGTTGCCCTCTATTATGATTGACGAGTGACGTGAGCGCAGCAGGGGTCGGTATCACATCTGGTGGTCCGTATCACGTCTGGTGGTCGGCATCACGTCTGGTGGTCGGTATCACGTCTGGTGGTCGGTATCACGTCTGGTGGCCGTCAACCCGAAGCCTTCGACATTTTTTGGACAGCCAGGAAAAGGGCACTCCGTCACCTAACAAACATTCTACAGCACACAAACAACTGTTTAAAAGTAGCAAATAGCCCACGTAAAATGTCCAGTTGTGCACTCAGTGCTGACCATGCAAAGAATAAACGGAATGGCACGGGGCACATTCTTTCTTGAGTGTCGACTCACATTACTCCCAAGACATGTCCTTTGCCAAGCCTTTCCATTGTCCACCTCTCGCAGGGCTGATCCTCGCTGTCAGCTTTGCCCAATCATTTTTAAGGGAACGCGAAGCACGTCGCCACACCCCTTTTGGAACGCCAGCAGCTGCATTGGCCTTATTAGCGCGCAGAGACCATGCGCAAACGGGATTCAAACCCGGCCTCCCACATATGAGTCCAAGGCTCTAACCAACCAGCCATTTGGCCCCCTTAGCCCTCGTTTCCGACTTCGCAGAGGCACTTAGCCTTGTCAAAGTTAGAGATTACAGGTAGAAAATGCTGCCTTTTACGGACGATTTTTTCCTCGGTTTTGGACCTGTTTTTAACATCGGTCCATGAAAAACCTGAATTTGCCGATGTTTTCGGTCTCACTCGTGGCTTTGACGGAGACAGTGCGGTCTCCATGGCACCTGCTGCTGAGGTGGTTTTGACACTGACGTCCGTCACAGGCGGGGCGGACCTCCGCAGGGCCTACTCCCCTCCTCCTACGGCGAGGCGACCCCCGGCGGGGAAGACCCCTGGAAGCCCCTCGGGAGCGAGCAGTGTTTACCCTTCTCGTCCCCCGGCGGCGCATTGCTTACCTTGTTGCGTTTCCAGGACACGATGAGAGAGGGCACGAGTCGGCCCTCGCGCCGGCGCGCCATCACCAGGTACTTGCCAGCCTGGGGTCGCACGTGCGGGCAGCAGGCCGAGTCCTGGTTCCAGACCAGGCTCGGTCGGCGCAGCGCGCGCCGCTCCTGCCGGCTGGGTGACTGCGGCTTGAAGAGGCGCGCTTTGCCGCACTGCGCCTGCCCGGCTTGGATTCGCCGGAACTTGGCGACCACCACTGGCGGCGGGGAACGCCGGTTCACATGGATGGCGGAACATTGTCACCTATGGTGGCGGGGGGGGGGGGGGGGGAGGGGAGAGATACGCAACCGCTGGAGAGTGGCTTGCCCCCGTTGTGCTCGTCCCTGCTTCTACCTACCCTCCTCTCCTTTATCATGGATAGAAACCCGGTCCCTAAAAAGTGCAACAACAGCAAAATAGAAACAAAAAATTACATTTCGGAACAGTCTGATCCTCAGTCCCGAGAGAATCGAATGAGTCTCCACCCATCCGCACCAGCATCAGTAGCGGGGCCGAGAGAGCGGATATCACGGCGGTGTTGAAATATCGCCATTGTAACTGGAGATGCACTTTGCATTGGTACGACGTGACCGGGTACAGTCAAGATTCTTTCGCTATCCCGCTGACATTTCGAACTTCCACATCAAGCGCGAGTTACTGATCCCATGCATCAAACTAATAACTTGCAGTACATTATGCAATATCCCAAAAGCTTTCAAACACCCCGGCACTGCAGAGCTTGAGTGCCTTACTTATATTGTTCTGCATTTGTCTGTCAGCCTTGAAAAACAGATGATTTCCGAGATGGGATATCAACCAAAATTCCCTGCCTCGCGAGCGAAGACAGAGCTAATGCAGCATACAACCCTGCATAGCAACAACTGATGACACGTTGGCAGATGACTGTCATGCGTACCTCCCATTGGATGGAACAGCCTCAGTGTTTTCCCCTTATGATCGGTTGGGGGGGGGGGGGGGGCGGGAGAGCTATCACATGATGCAAGGGCGATTGCAGTGTATCAGTAGCAATAGAAAGCCACTGCACAGTCCCAGCATTCTACTATAGCTCTCCTTACCTTGCTGAAAAGACGAAGGCGGTGGACGCGCTGATCCCGCGGCTCAGGCCGCACTACTCACTTACATCGGACCGACAATAGTGGGGACACGCTGATCCCGCGGCTCAGACCGCACCAGTCACTTACATCGGACCAGCAATGGTGGGGACGCGCTGATCCCGCGGCTCAGGCCGCACCAGTCACTTACATCCGACCAGCAGTGGTGGAGACGCGCTGACCCCGCGGCTCAGGCCGCACCAGTCACTTACGTCGGACCAACAATAGTGGGGACGCGCTGATCCCGCGGCTCAGGCCGGACTACTCACCTACATCGGACCGGCAATAGTGGTCCATGATGTTCTCCTTGGTCTCTGGCTGTTCGCACGCCTGGCAGTCGTCGTCGAGCGGCTTTTCTGCAACAGATGGTACAAAATCAGTGGTATCTTTCGTCTCTCTTTTCTGGCAATCCGAACATCATTGGTTTATCTTATCAATCTACAGAATTTGGGTTTGAGCCTTCCATGAAGTTGGCTTCGTGGTTGGAAACGGTATGATAAAGAACGCAAACCGTGTGGTGAAGAGCGCATCATTGGCAAATATAAAGCAGTCAGTACAGGGTAAGGTACAAATCTGCTCATATGTTCCGAGAAACTGTAATATCTTGCTAAGCCGTCGTCTGGGTATTCCATAAGCCGATGCCGCACAGTTGCAAGTGGGATGAGGCGAGAGATTATCTGTCTGCTCATCTGTACGGCCTAGCGGGACAATCTGAGATAACAGAAAAGTGTTATCTCAGATTGTGAAGCTAGGCTCACAAACGTGCGACCTGCCAAAAGGGATTGTGTTGAGCCGGCATTTTTAGCACAAATCCTCTGTAATTCGATGTCCAACGGGTCCGGCGAACCAACAGACGAAGAGGAGAAGATGCACAAAAAGACAGGCAATATGTCATACCGACAATATGAAGAGCATGCCAACCTGTCCTGCATACACGAGGACGCGCAGGCCTTGTACATACCTGTGACGTGCGTTGCGCGGTAATATGGACCGAGCGACATCTGGCGAGTCGTGCTGGATAATCACATGTGGCTGTGTTGCCAAGCGAGGCCACTGGTCAGAAGGGCCAGTTGGGCCCATTCGGAAATTGATCGTGAAATTCAGTTGCAGTAGCTCGAATAACATCATTGCCAACAGTTTCAGTGCTTTGTAGTGCAGTTATGCTAAACGATGTGTGCTCGCATGTTTTTAACCAGTTAGGCACATATTTTTGACGTTATGTTGTGCTTTATCCTAACCACAGATCCGAACGCCATCAGTAAACCCTGCTAACCAAGTGGAAAGAGGAACAAATCGATCTCGAGGGCTGGGCATCCGTTTCCTGGTCGGAAAGCCGAGGTAATGTCGAACTTCGGACATCCTTCAGAGGATGCCTTAACGCGGGCGGAGAACGGCTGCGCGTCACGTGCGGCAGCAGCAACACCACTGCCGTGAGGTCGCTGACGAAATCAGCATTGAAGTGAGGATGTTGGGGTGAGGATGTTTCGCTTTTGAATAGTATTTTTATCTCAACCAGATGAAAGTCCACATAAATATAGTATAATATTTAATATAATATTTAAGAAATATACATAATATTAAATATTGTAATATAATATAAAAACAGCCATAAATTCATCACCGTACCTAGGCCAACGGCGTGCTAGTCAACCAGCCATGCCAATCTCTGGTTGGTTGGACAGGACGCCATGCCCACTAGGCCCCTTGCCTGCACTGTAAAAGATAAGAGCTTTCCTTGGTGTTGAAAAGGGAGGATCAAAATGAAGCAAAAATGAGAAAAAGACCAACACGAACGAGGACGTCTATACAGTGGTATCGCTTTGTATACTTTCGGAGTGCCCGAGCCCTCCTCTAATGCTGACTTTAAGAGAATGTTCCATATTTAAAGGTATTGAAGCAAGCATGGGAAGTGATGAAATCAGCTCACTAGCAATATACTATATGCTATGATATATATATATATATATATATATATATATGCATACTTTAAATATGTATATATATATATATATATATATATATAAGTTTAAGGGTATACTTTTTAAGTGGAAAAGGCTGTTCTACACAACAAAATTCCTCAATTTGGTGAATATGCTTCTCGATACGTCATCGTTTTATTGGGTCATGGAATGCTTGTGTTACGTTGGGGTACTGCCAAACTAACCGTGCGAGACTGACACCCTAACACTCACGTATAGCGCTTCAACTTAACGACAGATGGCAGTGGCGGCACTAGAAGTGTTCGCTGAGCCAAACATCGTTACGTGCTCGTGTTTCCGCCCTCTCTCTTACTGTTCCTTCATATCTGTCCGTGAGTTTAAGAATTTCATTTGCATCCACTTACTCGATCATGACACTTTTCTTAAACGGAATGCTTCGCATCTGCGTTTGGTTTTGACTTCAAATAGTCATATTTAACATAATTCGGTGCGATTCTTAGGCTGCCTTCTCAAAACCTAAACCATTCTAGTTTTTGAGCTCCACGCCGCAAAGATGTGCAGGGTATTTTGAGGAGACTACGTCAAGGTCAACCAGGGATCAATGACGCTATAATAACGTCATTCATATCCTGCCATTCCACTTGTGATGCACGCAAAAAGATAATTGTCGAGTCGCTCATATCTGATGTTTGTGAGCACGATTCCAGACTTGACGGCCATCAACAGGCGAACAATTAATGCTGTGCAAGGCACGATAACGTAATCAAGCAATGACGCATTGATAAGCGTTTTTACTTAACAAAGATATTGTGTTGGCTAGAGCAGTCTTTTTTTCTCTAGAATATACCAATAGTTCGTCATGAACCTGTTTCATCATATCTGATGCTTGCTTAGATATCTTCAAATGTGTAACATATCTTTACGTGATCGAACATAAGTCTCACGTATTCCATAACCAGCAACCATGTCCAACTTCTTATATCATGCAGCACAAAACATGCTTTGTGATTGAAACTCGCACAGTTTGCTCAATATTGAATGAGAGCCAATTGACGTCCACCGGACTTAAAAATCATACGCACGGACGCCAGACCTGAATGGCTCAACGGAAGTATTCTCGGCCTTGAACGCCGCATGGCCTATGGGGTGGCAGGATTTGAATGGTGTTGCTATCGTTTCATGCACGCCTAAATGACTTTAAAAAGGCTGCACGAAAGGGTCAGAAGATCTTCTCGGACGTCTAGCTCGGAAACTTGAGAGTTTTAGGTCTTAAAAAGGCAGGGTTGTTAACTGCACCAAATGATCTTCAAAATGGTCATAAACCCCAACAAATGTGAAACCCTCTCTTTCAACCCCTTCAGTGCTCTTCCGAACCCCTTGTCCCCAATGCATATGAACAAAGAAGGGAGCATTGGGCCAATGAAATGCAATCAATATCTGAACTGCTGGTAGAGTACGCCCTAAACGCATCAACATCATATCATCATATATCATCATTGTCACTGTCACATCGGGTGCTAGTGGGAAATCATTCTTCAACATCAAACCAACCTTGGAACCGATGGGTTATTTTTTAATTCAATCTCGACATCAGGGACGCGTGTCAAAGTGGTCGAAATCCTCTGATAAATCAGGATTTGAAGGTATCAGGTTAGGTCATTTTACCGGCTCATTTACACCACCCCCATCCCAAACCCATTTTAGAGAGTAATACCCCGGCATTCTTCCTTGTTCCGCGGCAACATGTGAAACCAACCACATACAAATTTGAACTTGCGTGCTGGCAATCTTAGAAGCAAGAACACCGCTGACCGGAGTTGCAGTTACCATCGAACCGAGCGGCGTTGGTGGGCCAACACCGGGCAGCGGACACCTGACGTGGGGACACAGACGTGGAAAAATGCATTCGAAAGTCTTTCAAAATGTTTCCTTACCGTCCAAAGTTACACTGGGGCGTAAATTTCACATGAAAAAGCTTAAGGATGTGCTTTGAACAGATAAAAGAGATAGCAACAAGAAAAGAGAGATGTTATGCCCACTTGTCTAGTTCCACCACCAAAGTCCGAAACCAGTTCGCGGTGCTATCAATGTTAATACGTTCGTATTATAACTATATAAATTGCGCTGGTGAAACATGCTCCCGGACTTCCCTCTAAACTTACGTGTTGACATCCTAGAGCTTTTAAAGGCAGATCTTTCCGAAACGTTCCCGTTTTCGTTCGTTCACCGGCCATCACCTACTGACGGCAAAAGGGTCGACGTCGCCGGGCCAACGGAGACTGCAACGCCGGGTGTCGGGGTTTTGGTTCCAAAGCTTTAGAGCTCGCGTGGTAAAAAACTATGGTTTTTAGTTCTTCCAACACTCGGTTATGAACAAATGCTGAATCTTCCCAGACCAGCATGGTCACCGAGGAGCCAGCTCCAGTAGCATCGTTTTTACAATTAACCAGAGTGGCGCGTCACATTAACACTATGGCCGTCTCCATTGTCATATCTTCAAACTGTAACGGGCAAGGGTCGCTTTCCTTCCAGCGGCACAACAGCTTGGAACAGAGTCTCCCAGAAGCAAGCCGGCTCGCAACGCGTTTTTAATGAAAAGAGCGGGAAGAATGAAATCAAGAGAAAGGCCTGTGCCTAAGCGTTTTGGAGAAAAGCTGCGAACCATTTTCTGAAATGATGCGTGGAGGATGCCTTCAGATGGCACAAGGAACATCTGATGCGTTCATTTGTCACACTAGCTAAAAACGTGTTTTATCAACGAAATTTTTGGTATGTTGGGGAGATTCAAGTAAACGGGGTGCAATGTCAGGCATCTTGTGGACACAATTCTCGTGATTACATAAGTATAGACACCAACTAATTACAGAATAACATAATGGTAAGTTGTGTGCATAGCTCACTTTTCAGCACACAAGGGAGAGGTGCAACTGCACCCCCAGGTGCATTTTTACAAAGCTTCTGTAAATTGCCTGGCTCCTATGTAGTTACTGAGGCTATGCATATGAGCTTCCAAAATGTGGTAAGAGTGGTTTATATATATATATATATATATATATATATATATATATAACTTAACTATGAATATAACATAGAAAGAACTGCGCTCATGTGCTAAAAAAAAACTGTGCTCATGACGTTTTTCGCACCTATCCCTTATGGCGACTTCCAAGATTCTGGTGTCCAAATCATGCTGAGAAATGGACACTCATGGTATATCATCATCGTCATGCCGGATCGTCATTCTGGGCACTCATCTCAGGCGGCCACAGCCCACACCGGAGACTTCTGAATCAGGACAGTGAGCTGTACTCAAAATACGAACTTTTCAGGCGTTTTTGACAAAAGTACGTCGTTCCAGAAAAAAACACAGCGGCGGACTCTGTGTGGTGAGAATGCGTCTGTTGCTTTTTTACGTT